TGGATAGGGCAAGTGACATGCCCAACGCTGTGGGAAATATGAAGGCGCAGCCAGCCCTGACTCCCTCCTCCTGCCCATCCTCGTACATGGGCCTTAGGGGGATATGTGCTTCCTGACCAGTGACTCACAGCCTTGAAGAGCGTGGGGTCACCCTGACTGGTGAGGCCCTCTCAAGAACCTCTGGATTTGGCAACAGTAGGGATGGCTCATTTATTAGCTGTTTCTGTGGTGTTTGAACTTGTACCAAAATGGAAAAAAAGCATGAATACAGCATCAGTCATGATGTCAGCACAGAGTGATCTGACACACCAAGTGCTGCTCCCCCAGGGAGGGCTGGGCGTAAGAGCAAGACTGCTCTCCACAGGAAGGCAGGCCAGATGACGTCTGCAATCCTTCTTTTTCCTTGCTGGTGGGGGAGTGGGAGGGGAAAGTGGAAAGCAAGCCTGTCACTGCTGGGGGCCCTCAGAGCTTCCTACCAGCCATGGAGGTGAAGGGAGTCTGGCTCCACCCGAGAACAGAAGCAGCCTCGTAGGGCAACAGCATTTGGAGCCAGATATGTCACATGAGACTTTAGTGCCACCAGGTTCCCTGCGGAAGCCCCTCCCAAGAACTGCCCCCACAGTCCTACCTACTCCAGACCCCAAGGGAGGGCGCAGCAGGGAGTGGCTGTGGCTGGCTGGGCCGACTGTCAGGTCAACCTTTGCCTCAAAGAGCCCCTAGCCTGCTCCCAGGTCTCTGTCTTTCATGGCAGTGCTGCCCTGGCGTCCCTTCTGCCCATTACACAGTTCATGTAAGTGAGCAACTGAGAAAGATGCTCTTCTGGGAGAAAGTCCCTTCAGAGCCACAGCGCCCCTAAGATCCTGACTTTTTGAATTCCCCGCAGGCTCCCGAAGATGGGCAGTGGCTCCCGGTGGGAAGCCACTCTCTTGTGGTTTCTGCTACCTCTCGCCCCAGCCCACTTCTTGACTTGTACACCACACTGTGTTCTCCTCCCTACTGCCACCCAGATGCCCCCTGGATTAGGGTGCACAGGCATCCACTGAAGCCCTTGCCAGTCCTCTGGGATGACAGGATGGGCTTTGTAGCTGGCAGGACGGGTCAAGCTAACAAAAGCTGATATCTGGCAGAGTCATCTGCCTCAGGGTAGCTCTTGGAAATTCCCTCCTCTCCACCTCTACCTTTTGGCACTTGAGATCTGCGGCTGGTGGCCTGCGCGTCTTCTGGCCATGTGCCAGGTCAGGCTCATGGAGGTGGTGGACAGCAGAACCCTAGCACAGGTTTCCTGTCTCACTGATAAGCCATTCCCTCTGGCAGTCAGCTCGGAGGGTGTCAAGGAGCCACAGGCACTATGGACAGCTGAGGGAGACCCTCGTTGCTGCTGGGCCAAGTCAGGGAGTTCTGCACAGCCTGGCCTGGTATATGCAGCCTCAATGGGCAGTGAGCACAGGGCATGCAGCCCTCTCTCTCCCTACCCAGTTCATCCTCTTCTGACATGGGTTGATGACCTTGGAGTAGGGAGGAAGAGGCTGAGCCCCTCCCAGCAGGCTCCTGGGGACCCATAGGGGACTGAGAAAGAGAGAGAGAGAGAGAGAGACAGAGAGACAGAGAGAGAGAGACAGAGAGAGAGAGACAGAGAGACGAGTCTTACTGGGTTCAGAGAGTTCCCTCAGCCAGTGTTCTCCTTGGGAGTCCTTGCATGCCAGGCCGATCTGCCTGGGCATGAACCTGGAAGGGGCTAGGAGAGGGCGCGGTTCAGGCTCCTCACCGTCTAGAAGAGGCTGGATAGAAATAGCTGCACCCATCTGGGCGATGAGTCACTGGCGGGCGTCTCTTACAGGTTCTATTTTAGGTGAGATGGCTGTGACACAACCTGGGTGAGGGGAACTGAGTAAAGGAAGGTTCTGGTTGTTAGTACAAGAGTTTTAGCACATGCCCATGGTCAATCTTGTCCAGAACCTAAGGGGAAGAGGTCTCCCTGGAGTCCCAGATAAGAAGTTTCACCTCCTAGATCCCTCTTCTTAGGAATTCCCACCTCAGGCCTGCTGCAGCCTGCAGGTGCATGGCAGATGGGGCGTTGAGTGCAAAGGAGCTAAGTTTGTAGCTGTTGCCCTAGGACAGAACCTCCTTTCAGGAGCTCCACTTAGGGTGAGCACAAACAACTTGCCCCTGGGAGCTCCTACTTTGATGGGAGTGAGCCCTGCCCCCCCACCCCCCAAGAATGACCTTTCTAAAGGAATCTTGGGACTGAGTCCCAGAAGCACAAATTGTTTTTCCTCTGTGACTTTTTTTGGTGCAAATGTCGACAAAACTGCCTTGGGTCTCAAAAGGCATCTGGGTGAGTTAATAGTTTCCAGCTGCTTTGGCATCCCTGTTCTTGTGTTGTTGGAGCTGGGCTTGGTCTTTGAGGGCTCTGCTAGTGTTTTGCAGAGCGACTTGTGGACCCACGACTTGACCTATGTGAGGCCTAGTGGCCTTTGGGAAAGGCAGGAGTGCAGGATCACCAGGCTCCAGGCTGTGGCTCGGGAGCTAGGCAGGGCCAGCAGGGCTGCTCTTGCCAGCAGCATCACCTCATAGGTAGGTGACCACAAGAGAGGCGTCACATCAGATCTTCCTTTTCTCTACCTTAAAGACAAAATGAGAGAATGCCTATGAACACGCGCAATGTGGACACAACGTGGTGCTCACCAAAATGCTGTGTCCTCTCCCTCTTCAGATGCTGCCGTTGGGCTGCTAGGCAGGGTTGTCTTGCCCAGACTCCCCAACTGGCAAATCCAGCAGCAGCAGCATAACTTTGTGGTGTCACTGCAGAGAGCAGGGCTCGAGGCCCCCCTGAGGGGGAAACAGAAGTAGTCCTCTGCCCCAGGGGCCAGACTGGACACTGCCCTGACTACGGGGCCACAGTGGTGCATTCAGTGTCTCCAGCTGTAGTCATCAAGGTGAAACCTTCGCCTCCAGGCTTATGCTTGAACCAGAGGAGCCTCGTCATCCAGTTGCCAGTCTCCAGTCCTGTGGCATCTGTGTGTGTTAGTAGGTGGTCAGGATAAATCCCAAGAGATAGTGTCTCTGCACCAAGCCCTGCTTTGTGCCACAAACTGCGCATGGTCCTGAGGACACGTTGAGAGCTCACAGGCTAGATGGGGAGATAGAAGACACCCAAGGAAATAAATTAGTAGATACTTTGGGGAAGAATAAGGATTGTGAAGAAAATAAACCGGGTAATTTGATACAGCGCCTGCGGCAGGCATTTTAGATTGTGTGGCCAGAGAGGGCCCTGGTGGGGAAGTGATACTTGCTCTGAGACCTACATAAATAACGGGGCTCAGGGACAGAGGGAGTAATGAGTTGCAGAGGCCCTGGGACAGACGCGAGCGCTGAAGGTCACTTGGCAGGACAGGAAACATAATATATCTGTGGTGAGATAGCTCGGGTGGATGGCGGGAGAGGAGATTGGAGAGAGGGGTAGGCTGAGGTAAAGCAGGGGTCTCATAGGTCATGCTAAAAGTTCCTATGGTTAGTGTGGTGAATCCGCTAGGGAAGTTGGAACCTGTAGATGGTGTGCTCTGATTTATAAGTGGAGTGTTTGGAGGAGGAAAGTAGTATTGGCTCATGGGACTGGAGGTCCAAGGGTAGACTTAAGGCATAACTGAATCTAGGGAGGTAAATGAAGCCATCGCCTCTTATCCCTTCTCCCTGCCTTGACGCCGCCCTGACTGCCCGTTGACTTCATTCTGAGTACCTCTATATTGGGAAAGGATACTGGCTCCGCCAAGGCTTCATCTTTCCTGCTACCACCCCAAAAGGAAAAAAACAGCCACCTGCCTTTGCTCACCAGGTATTGTGGACGGACTCTAGCCACCTTGTCTGGAAGGTCACGTGCCCACTCTGCACCACTAGCTGACAGCTGTGTTCAGCCCGGCCTCGGTTGTGCTCACGTGCTCAGGAGGGTGAGTGGCAGAGGAGCCACGGCAAGCCACATGAAGAGCAGCGTGTTTCTTATTTTTTCTGGAGACAAAAAGTATCCAATTTTTTTTAAAAAATTGTCTTCCTTAAGGAAAACAAGGTTTATTTCGTTCTACTCACATTGTCACTTATATTACTTTGTTCTCATTTATTTTGTTTTTAACCATTGTCCATATATATTTTGTCTCCTCAGTTCCTCAAGGACCAGCTTCATGGTTTCTTTTTATTTTCTATTCCTCTCTCCTGCACCTATTACTCTTATTTATTCATTCTGCAAGGTTTTTTTTTAAAGATTTATTTATTTATGCATACAAGAGCTGGGGTACAGGCCAGAGATGCGGCGGGTGAGAGGATTCACCAGAGACAGAGTGGGGAACAGAACAGGCAGACAGAAATACACTGCTGAGGGGAGCAGTGGGTGAGACAGGAGAGGTCTGCTTCGCCATGTGGGTTTCTCTCTGGCCAGCCGGGGATTGAACTCGTGCTTCAGAGGCTGCGGACAGCTTCATAGTGTGGTGCTTAACCCCCTGTGCCACTAGGGAGGCCTGTTCTGCAAGTTTTTAACTGAATACCTATTGTTTACAAGCCTTCCTGACTCCCTCATTAAGATCACTCTGGCTGCTACGTGGGGGTGGCCTGATGGAGCCACCGGGTATGGAAAGCGACCAGCTGGAGGCTATTCCATCCAACTGCAAGGATGGAAGCAGGGGTTGGCTAGGCAGGGCCTGCAGATGGAGTGAGATACACAGACCCAAGATGCTGCCAGTGTGCAGGGGGAGGACTCTCGAGCAGCAGAGTCTGGCAGGCTGTGGGGTGGTGGCTTGGGGTGGACAGTGTGTGACGCCTCTGCTCAGCATGTGCCTGACAGCTCCTAGAGGGCAGGAAGCTCCATCTGTTCCCCCTGGCAATCCCGAACCCCCTCAGCTTGGTGTTCCTGCCTGTGTTAGGAGCTGGCCCTGCCTGCTGTGGGGCCTGCAGTGACACAGGACATGGATGCCCCAGTCTTGGCCTTCTTGCTGACCATGATGTTTCCTCCTCAGGTGAAGGAATGGCTCTGTCTGAACTGCCAGATGCAGAGGGCTCTGGGGATGGACATGACCACTGCGCCTCGCTCCAAGAGCCAGCAGCAGCTGCATTCCCCAGCCCTGTCTCCTGCCCACTCTCCAGCCAAACAGCCCCTGGGGAAGCTGGAGCAAGAGAGATCACGGGGTCCAGGGGGATCACCTGGCCCCCGCCAGGGTGAGACAGCCAGGGCCACCTCAGTGCCAGGGTCTGTCCAAGCAGCTGGCCCTCCAGAAGTGGGCAGAGTGTCTCCTCAACCCCATCACCCCACCAAGCCTTCCACAGCTGAGCCCAGGCCACCTGCAGGAGAGCCTCTGGCCAAAAGTGCCACTACAGTGCCCCCTGGGCCTGGTGCTGCTGAGCAGACTCAGGAGGGCCTCACTGGGAAGCTCTTTGGCCTTGGTGCGTCACTGCTGACCCAGGCGAGCACCCTCATGTCTGTGCAGCCTGAGCCTGACCCCCAAGGACAGCCTGCCTCCAGCAAGGGACCACCCAAGATTGTCTTCAGTGATGCCAGCAAGGAGGCTGGCCCTAGACCCGCAGGCTCAGGACCCGGGCCTGGGCCAGCACCTGGAGCCAAAACTGAGCCCGGAACTCGAACAGGTCCTGGATCAGGGCCTGGAGCCCTGGCAAGAACTGGGGGAACAACCAGTCCAAAGCATGGCAGAACAGAACACCAGGCAGTGTCCAAGGCTACTGCCAAGCCAAAGACCATGCCGAAAGAAAGGGCCACCTGCCCACTGTGCCAAGCTGAGCTCAACGTGGGCAGCAAGGGCCCAGCCAACTATAACACCTGCACTACCTGCAAGCTCCAGGTGTGCAACCTGTGTGGCTTCAACCCAACACCCCACTTGGTGGAGGTAAGAGAGCTGGACCAAGCATGTTTCCTTGGGCCTTGGTGAGAGGCCAAGGTGAGGGGGGCTGGAGGAAGCATGGGAACCAGAAAGGGCTGCAGAGAACTGAGTCTATAGCAGCCTTAGGGTTGCCCAACAGCTAATGCTTCCGTCCTTGACACAGGCCTGTCCTTCCACTCATAGAATTAACTGGCACTGTGCCTGCTGCCTCTGACCAGCTGACCAGTCCCGGAGATAGCTAGGCTCAGGAAGGCCTGCATTGGGCCTTCTTGTCCCCAGCTATCATGGGAATGGCCCTGATGAAAGATGCCAACCTCCTTTGCTCAGGTAGGAAGAACCTGATGTCCCATCCTGCCTTTTATCTGTGATCTCATAGGGGACTGAAGGGCCATTAAGCAGCGGGCTGTGGGCCTCCCCTGGTGGCGCAGCAGTTGAGTGCTGGGCTGCGAGGCTGCCTGCATCCTCTGCAGTGCTGGTTCGTTCCCCGGCCGCCGGCGAGGGTTCCACAAAAAAAAAAAAAAAAAAACACAAAACGGAGAGCTATGCCCCCATGTCCCACTGTCCAGACTCTAGCCCAGCCAGGTGGTACCCTCTCTTCTGAGATCTGGGTGTTGATGTCTGCTTGTCAAGGCCACAGCTTTTGATCCACATATTTCCCCCTGACTGCACCCAGCCCTCCATGGGTCTGTTTATGAGGATGTTTAGATATGGTCTTACCATAGGAAAGTTTGAGGGAGTGACGAGCTTGGGGCCTTTCTGAAATCCCTGCTCCAGGGAAGACTGCTGGGCACTGCGAGAGCTAGGTGGAAAGGAGGAGGAGGCCCAGTGCTGTCTTCAAGCTTAGAGCCCAAACTGGGAGTCTTGGAAGGTGTGGAGGCACCCTGGCAGAGCTGGACCTGCTGGACCTGGAGCCTCTCTGCTCCCCTCCCCAACCACTCTGTCCTGCCTGGGGCTCCATGTGACTCCTGCTGTGGCTTCCTGGAGTCGAGGGGGGTGTGGCGTGCAGACCACCCCTGGCCAGGATGGGATAACAGAGAGCATGGTGTTACCATGGTCTCTGAGGCACCTAGTTCTTACTCGCCTTGGGCCAGGCCTCTCTCGGGCTAAGGTGGCTCTGTACTGGGCCACCCACTGTGATGAGGAAGACTGCTTTGGCCACCATGTCCATATTTTCCCATGTGCAGGGAGGGGCAACCCAGGGTAAGACAAGTAATCTCTTCATATGATACCCATGTGGCTCTCCAGGCCCCACACTGCCACTTTCCCAAGCCCTAGCTCCAGTGGCTTATTGGAGGACAGCTGGCTGGGATGAGTTGGGGTCATCACAGGACCACAGGAATTCCAGTGCAGGGACTTCCAGGTAACCACTCACTGCTAGTTGCCCTGATCCTGTGGGATTGCAGCCCTGTAGGACTGCTGAGCTGGTCCAACCTGGAGGGCTCTTGTCCTTGAGAGACCTCCTGGCTCACAATTCCTCACAAAGCAAGACATGCGTAGCAGGGAGGGATTCACATGCAGGAGTGCAAGTGTTCCTGACAGCTCCTTTCAGCAGCCACTGGGCTGGACCAGGCCAGGCGGGAAGTGCTGATTCAGCCTAATCAGGAAAGTCTCTTAGTCACATGCTGACTCTGGATGAGCACCTGGATGAGCACCTGAGTCACAGATTAGCCACTTGGTCCTGGCCTTCCAGGACCCCAGAGCATCTCTGTGGCCAGCACTGACCCCGCCTCTGGCCACCCTACATGCCTCCATGTTCTGCCCTGCTGCTGCCCACTGACCAGGGCTGCCCTTGCCTCCAGAGGATCTGATGGGTTCCATGGGCCTGATGGTGAAGCTCTAGGTATCCTGGCCCTAGCTCCTCTCCACCCAGGCTCTCTGTTTCCCTGCCTCCTGCTTCTAACAACAGTCAGAGCGTGACCAAGCTTCTCTGACTCCTTTCTCAAGGTTCTTCCAGTTAATGCTGTTATCCCCAGAGGGCCTGTAGCTGCTCCGGGGAATGTGTTGCCTGGCAGCCATGATGCCCCCTCCTGTGGTTCCCACCATGGAATCACACCATCGTCCACTGCCAGAGATAGAGGCTGGCAGCCTGGGGTCATCCTCAGCTCCCTCTCTGACTAGAGCCTCCTTTTCTCTCCACCCCCAAATCTGCAGCCTTAGTCCAAGCCCTTGCTCTCCCTCACCCCTACCTTGTGCCTTGCAAGGGGCTTGGGGAGTGGTGCTGATGCTGGTGCTGGTGCTTGGTGTGTCCCCTTCCTCTTCCCACCAGTATTATTGCTGTTACTCGGTGAGGCCTCCAACGGGGCCACAGGCTATCTTTGATGCCACCTCAGCAAACGGCCACTTGGCAGTCAGAGCAATTTTGTGCTTTCCTGTGACCTACTTTGTATGTTTTTGGTTAGCGGCCCCTGATTTCTCAGCAGGTGCTTGGACACACCTGCCTTGGGAATGAGGTCCTTCTCCCTGGCTATTTTTCCCATACCCTACTTGACCCTGGTAGGCCTGCTAGGCTCAGGATAATTGTGGTTTCTGTGCACAGTTTGAGACAGGGGTCTGTGTCTGCATACAGGCTGGGAGCCTGAGGCAGGAACAGTGAGGGGGCCCTCACTCCTACCTCCTGTTAGGATCTGCTATGGATCTACCTGAGGCCAGAGGTGCCTGTCTGGGATGCCAGGTTGGGAATTTTCCTCAACCCCTCTGAGCAATAAAAATCTTCTTACCTTCTTTCTAGATGAGTCCAGAGTATACAGTGGAGGAGGCGGTAAAACTAGATTCTTTTTCCCTTTGAAATTGCCTCTGAAAAAAACAACCACAGTGCTATCTAGTGAGTCATTTCATAATTAAGAGTTGTTGATTCCAAATTTTTTACCTATTTATTTTTTTGAAGGATAATAGTACCCTCTGGCTTAATTTTTAATTGGCTTTCAGTTCAGAATAGAGTTTGCAAAGAAATTAGTGGAATTTAAATTGTTACAGTAACATTACTGGTTCTTTATTATAATTGCCAAAATACCAGTCATGCCCTTGAGATGTCAGCCCTTCCTGGGCAAAGGGCCTGATACCTGTGAAATGTGGGACTTGGCTGAGCTTATTTGGGGGAGGGGCTATGACAGGGCATCAGGGGTGAGGCCAGCAGCTGCCTCTGCTCCAGACCTGCTTCAGGCTGCCTCTGGGGTTGGTAATTTCAGGAAGCTATCTTAGCCTGTGTGGAAAGGAGGTGATAATGCTCCCTCTTAGGTGACTGGGGGAACCAGGTGAAACATTCGGATATTTGTGCAATCCCCAGCACACAATCAGCCCTTGGCCAGGCACCTGTCAGGGCTCAGTCTCAGCCTGTCCAATCCCAGGTACCTCTCGGGGTGAACTGTGCCAGGCCAAGTGAGTCCAAGGACCAACCAGTAGCTGGCACCCATCATCTCATAGGGGTTTGTGGGACAGGTACATAGAGCATCAGATAAGTTCTGCCTGGTGAGTTAGGGTCTACGGGGCTCTTGACTGCTGGATTCCACCCCAGCTCCCAGCTATTTGCTCCTTATCCTCTCCCTCAGCCAGCTGAGTTATGACTATGTGGAGGCCAGTGTGAGGGTAACCTGTCTTTCCTTCCACCCCAGCACACCCTCTTCTGCAGACCCTCCTGCTACTTGGTCTGTCTTCCTTATAGTCTTCCTCCTTTTCTGGTCAGGTGGAAAGTTCTCTACAGGGTAAGGATGGGACCTCTATGTTTTTAGGTTCATCTTTTGAACTTTGTCTGTGAGCATTTTAAGGATCAGGAAGTCTGTCATTGGAGGCAATAAATCTATCAGTCTTTTCTCCCTTATGCTTTTGGTGTCATGCTCTGGAAGACGTTCCCCTCCATAAGGCTGTAGAAATTGTCATGGAGCTAGTCTTTGAATACTAGTGTCTTTGTGATTTTCATCTAACCCCCTTCCCTCCTGTTTCCTTACAGAAAAGTGAGTGGCTCTGTCTGAACTGCCAAACTAAGCGGCTGCTGGAAGGCAGCTTGGGAGAACCTACTCCCCTGCCACTGCCTACCACCCCACAACAGCCCCCTGCGGGGGCTCCTCACCGTGCAGCTGGACCTTCCCCTCAGAAGCAGAAAGGGCCACAAGGGCTGGGCCAGCCATCAGGCACCCTGCCTGTCAAGGCCAGCCCCCCACCCACCAAGGCCAGCCCCCCACCCACCAAGGCCAGTCCTCAGGTCAAGCCCCCCAGGGCTTCTGAACCCAGTAGGACACCAAGCAGTGCCCAGGAAAAGAAGACTGGAGTCCCAGTAAAAGCTGAGCCTGTGCCGAAACCACCTCCAGACACTACCCTGCCCCCCGGGACTCCTAAAGCGAAGACCGGGGCCCGGAAGATTGAACCTGCCACCCCTGTGGTCAAGCCTGTTCCAGAGGCCCCTAAGGGTGGGGAGGCAGAGGTCAGTCTCATTCACTTCTCGGGGACTCCAGCTCTCAGGCAGACAGTTTAGGGAAGGACTTCCCTCCCTTGGGGGCTGGAATGTAGCCTGGGGCAGGGATGTTCCAGCAGGAGGAAAGCCTACATGAGGTCCTGGTGGGCCAGGAACCCATGAGTTCTATGTCTGGCACCTTGTTGGATGGAGTGCTACTTTTCCCTGCCATTAGATCTAGTAAAGTGTCTGAGAACCTAGTGCTGCTTGGGCTTTGCCTTGGAACTGCAAGTTTAAGGCCAGAGAGATGGTGTGGGTGGTAGGTCCTGATCCCTTGGGAAATGGAAGACCCCTTCCCCTGGGCCCTGGGGTTGACAGAGAAGGCTGGACTCCTTCTATGGCTATCTGCCATGTGGAGTCAACATCTGCTTCTTGCCCTGCTGCAGGAGCTGGTGGGCAAGCCTTACTCTCAGGACCTGTCTCGGAGCCCACAGAGCCTCAGTGACACAGGCTATTCCTCCGATGGCGTCTCCAGCTCCCAGAGCGAGATCACAGGTGTTGTGCAGCAGGAGGTGGAGCAGCTGGACAGTGCCGGGGTGACAGGGCCACGCCCACCCAGCCCCTCTGAGCTCCACAAGGTGGGAAGCAGCATGCGGCCTTCCCTAGAGGCCCAGGGCTTGGCCCCGAGTGGTGAGCGGAGCAAGCCACCCAGCAGCAGCAGCGCTGAGGATCAGAAGCCCCGGCCCCACTCCTTGTCCATCATGCCAGAGGCCTTTGACTCTGATGAGGAACTGGAGGATATCCTGGAGGAAGAGGAAGACTCTCTGCAGTGGGGGCGCCAGAGGGAGCAGCAGGACACAGCTGAGTCCTCGGATGACTTTGGCAGCCAGCTGAGGCACGATTACGTGGAGGACAGCAGTGAGGGTGGGCTGTCCCCTCTCCCACCCCAGCCTCCTGCCAGGGCAGCAGAACTGACTGATGAGGAGTTCATGCGGCGGCAGATACTGGAGATGAGCGCCGAGGAAGATAACCTGGAAGAGGATGACGTTGCCACCTCGGGGCGTGGCCTGGCCAAACACGGCACCCAGAAGGGTGGCCCTAGGTCCCAGTCAGAACCCAGCCAAGAACCAGCAGCACTGCCCAAGAGGCGCCTGCCCCACAATGCTACCACGGGCTACGAGGAGCTACTCTCTGAGGGAGGCCCCGCAGAGGCCACCGACAGCAGTGGTGCCCTGCAGGGTGGGCTCCGCCGCTTCAAGACCATTGAGCTCAACAGCACGGGCAGCTATGGCCATGAACTGGACTTGGGCCAGGGCCCTGATCCCGGCCTGGACCGGGAACCTGAGCTGGAGATGGAGAGCCTGACAGGCTCACCTGAGGACCGCTCCCGCGGGGAGCATTCCTCCACACTGCCAGCCTCCACACCCAGCTACACGTCGGGCACCTCCCCCACCTCCCTGTCCTCACTCGAGGAGGACAGTGACAGCAGTCCCAGCCGCAGACAGCGGCTAGAAGAAGCGAAACAGCAGCGCAAGGCCCGGCACCGCTCCCATGGACCCCTGCTGCCCACCATCGAGGACTCCTCGGAAGAGGAGGAGCTGCGGGAAGAGGAGGAGCTGCTGCGGGAGCAGGAGAAGATGCGGGAGGTGGAGCAGCAGCGAATCCGCAGCACAGCCCGGAAGACCCGGCGTGACAAGGAAGAACTGCGGGCCCAGCGGCGACGGGAACGCTCCAAGACACCCCCTAGCAACCTGTCGCCTATTGAGGATGCCTCCCCCACTGAAGAGCTGAGGCAGGCAGCTGAGATGGAGGAGCTACATCGCTCCTCCTGCTCTGAATACTCGCCCTCGCCCTCCCTTGACTCAGAGGTTGAAGCCCTGGATGGTGGCCCCTCCCGGCTTTACAAGTCAGGCAGTGAGTACAACTTGCCCACCTTCATGTCCCTCTACTCGCCAACAGAGACACCCCTGGGCAGCACCTCCACTCCCAGTTCTGGCCGACCCCTTAAGAGTGCTGAGGAGGCCTATGAAGAGATGATGCGGAAAGCTGAGCTGCTCCAGCGGCAACAAGGCCAGGCAGCAGGGGCCCGGGGGCCTCATGGTGGCCCCTCTCAGCCCATAGGCCCCCGGGGCCAGGGTTCCTTTGAATACCAGGACACCCCAGATCACAGCTATGGTAGGGCTGCTCAGCCTGCCTCAGAGGGCACACCAGCTGGTCTGGGAGCAGCCGTGTACGAGGAGATTCTTCAGACATCACAGAGTATTGCCCGCATGCGTCAGGTCTCCTCGAGGGACCTGGCTTTTGCAGAAGACAAGAAGAAGGAGAAGCAGTTTTTGAATGCCGAGAGTGCATATGTGGACCCAATGAAGCAAAATGGTGGCCCACTTACCCCTGGTACCAGTCCCACCCAACTTGCTGCCCCTGTGTCCTTTTCCACTTCCATCTCCTCAGACAGCAGTGGGAGCCGAGTCATTCCTGATGTCCGAGTCACTCAACATTTTGCAAAGGAGTCTCAGGACTCCCTCAAGCTGCACAGCTCTCCTGCCTCCCCCAGCTCTGCTTCCAAAGAAGTAGGCACATCCTTTTCCCAAGGCCCTGGCACCCCAGCCACCACCACTATGGCTCCTTGTCCGCCTGGACTGCCACAAGGATATATGACTCCAACCTCCCCAGCCAGCTCTGAGCGCAGCCCTTCACCATCTTCTATAGGCCACAGCTATGTACAGACCCCAGCCACTGCGAACTATGGGTCCCAAACTGAGGACTTACCCCTGGCCTCCAGCGTACGGGCTGCCAGAGAGAAGCCCCCAAGTATGAGTGATGGTGAGAGCGGCATATCCCAGCCCTCCCGGGGATATGCCTACTTTTCAGGCTCCAGCCCACCTCTCTCCCCGTCTTCTCCCTCAGAGAGCCCCACGTTCTCCCCTGGCAAGCTGGGTGCCAGGGCCACAGCAGAGTTCTCTACACAGACGCCAAGCCCAACCCCTGCCTCAGACAGGCCACGGAGCCCTGGTGCCCCTACCCTGGCACCTATGGTGGCTCAGGGCACACAAACACCACACCGACCCAGCACACCTCGCCTGGTGTGGCAGCAGTCCTCTCAGGAGGCCCCCATTGTGGTCATCACACTGGCGTCAGATGCCTCCAGCCAGACGAGGATGGTGCATGCCAGTGCCTCCACCTCCCCAGTGTGCTCACCCACTGACAGCCACCCCACCAGCCACAGCTATAGCCAGACAACGCCTCCAAGTGTGTCTCAGCTGCCCCCAGAGCAACCTGGGCCACATGGCTTCCCGCGAGCGCCTAGTGCTGGTGCAGATGGGCCCCTGGCACTATATGGCTGGGGTGCCCTCCCCGCTGAGAACATCTCCCTGTGCCGTATCTCCTCTGTCCCTGGAACATCCAGGGTGGAGCCAGGCCCCAGACCCCCCGGCAGTGCCGTGGTAGACCTTCGTACAGCCGTCAAGCCCACACCCATCATCCTAACTGACCAGGGCATGGACCTGACTTCTCTTGCTGTGGAAGCCAGGAAGTATGGCCTTGCCCTGGACCCAATCCCAGGTCGGCAGTCGACCGCTGTGCAGCCCTTGGTTATCAACCTCAATGCCCAGGAGCAGACACATGCTTTCCTCAGCACCGCCACCACCGTAAGCATCACCATGGCCTCGTCTGTGCTCATGGCTCAGCAAAAGCAACCTGTGGTCTATGGAGACCCCTTCCAGAGCCGACTTGACTTTGGTCAGGGTACAGGTAGCCCTGTGTGCCTGGCCCAGGTCAAGCAGGTAGAACAGGCTGTCCAGACAGCCCCATACCGAGGTGGGCCCCGGGGCAGACCTAGGGAAGCCAAGTTTGCCAGATATAACCTGCCCAACCAGGTAGCACCTCTAGCCAGAAGGGACGTTTTGATTACGCAGATGGGCACCGCCCAGAGTGCTGGCCTCAAGCAGGGCCCAATGCCAGAGCCTGGTGCCGAGCCCCACCGGGCAGCGCCTGCAGAACTACGGTCACATGCTCTGCCGGGGGCCAGGAAGCCACATACAGTGGTGGTACAGATGGGAGAGGGGGCAGCAGGCACTGTGACCACACTGCTCCCAGAGGAGCCTGCGGGTGCCCTGGATCTCACCGGGATGAGACCGGAGAGCCAGCTGGCGTGCTGTGACATGGTCTACAAGTTTCCTTTCGGCAGTAGCTGCACAGGCACCTTCCACCCCACCCCTAGCGCACCTGAGAAGAGCGTGGCAGATGTGGTCCCACCTGGCCAAAGCAGCGGCCCCTTCTATAGTCCTCGAGACCCTGAGCCTCCTGAGCCCCCCACCTACCGGACACAGGGGCTAGTGGGGCCCGGGCCCCATGAGGAACAGAGGCCCTTCCCACAGGGCCTCCTTGGCAGGCTGTACTCCTCCATGTCTGACACCAATTTGGCTGAGGCTGGCCTCAACTACCACGCCCACAGGATTGGGCAGCTCTTCCAGGGCCCTGGACGAGACTCAGCTATGGACCTCAGCTCACTGAAGCATTCCTACAGCCTGGGCTTTGCCGATGGACGTTACCTAGGGCAGGGCCTGCAATATGGCTCATTCACAGACCTACGTCACCCCACGGACCTTTTGACTCACCCGCTTCCCATGCGGCGCTACAGCTCAGTGTCAAACATCTACTCAGACCACAGGTATGGCTCACGGGGAGAAGCAGCTGGCTTTCAGGAGGCCAGCCTGGCCCAGTACAGTGCCACCACGGCCCGCGAGATCAGCCGCATGTGTGCTGCCCTCAACTCCATGGACCAGTATGGAGGGCGGCATGGCAGCAGTGGTGGCGGCCCTGACCTCATACAATATCATCCCCAGCCTGGGCCAGGGCTCAGTGCCCCGCAGGGCCTGGCTCCCCTCAGACCTGGCCTCCTTGGGAACCCCACCTTCCCAGAGGGTCACCCAGGTCCCGGGAACCTGGCCCAGTACAGACCTACCGCAGGCCAAGGGACGGCAGTCAGACAGCTGCTGCCATCCACAGCCACAGTGCGTGCAGCTGATGGCATGATCTATTCAACTATCAACACCCCGATTGCTGCAACACTGCCCATAACCACCCAGCCCGCCTCAGTACTAAGGCCCATGGTACGTGGTGGCATGTACAGGCCTTATGCGTCCGGTGGAGTCACAGCTGTGCCACTTACCAGTTTGACACGTATGCCCATGATTGCCCCCCGGGTACCTCTTGGGCCCCCAGGGCTATACCGATATCCTGCACCAAGTAGATTCCCTGCTGCTTCCAGTGGCCCACCTGCTGAGGGTCCTGTCTACCTGGGGAAACCTGCTGCTGCCAAGGCACCAGTGGCTGGAGGCCCACCAAGGCCAGAACTGCCAGCAGGAGCCACAAGGGAAGAACCTCTTTCCACAACCACCCCTGCTGCTGCCAAGGAGGCTACAGCAGCCCCGGCTCCAGCCCCTCTGGCTGGCCAGAAGCCACCAGTAGATGCTGCTCCTGGGGGTGGCAGTGGGGCCCTGAGCCGGCCAGGGCTCGAGAAGGAGGAAGCCTCACAGGAGGAGAGGCAGCGGAAGCAGCAGGAGCAGCTGCTTCAGCTGGAGCGAGAGCGGGTGGAGTTAGAGAAACTGCGGCAACTGCGGCTGCAGGAGGAGCTAGAGCGGGAACGCGTGGAGCTTCAGAGACACCGCGAGGAAGAGCAGCTGCTGGTGCAGCGGGAGTTGCAGGAGCTGCAGACCATTAAGCACCATGTACTGCAACAACAGCAGGAAGAACGCCAGGCTCAGTTCGCCCTGCAGCGGGAGCAGCTAGCTCAGCAGCGCCTGCAGCTGGAGCAGATCCAACAGCTGCAACAACAGCTGCAGCAGCAGCTAGAAGAACAGAAGCAGCGGCAGAAGGCCCCCTTCCCTGTGGCCTGTGAGGCACCTGGTCGAGGACCTCCCCCAGCTGCCACTGAGCTGGCTCAAAATGGCCAATACTGGCCACCCCTGACCCATGCAGCCTTCATTGCTGTGGCAGGGCCTGAGGCGCCCGGGCAGTCCCGTGAGCCTGTGCTGCACCGGGGTCTCCCCAGTTCTGCTTCAGACATGTCGCTGCAGACTGAGGAACAGTGGGAGACAGGCCGCAATGCCATCAAGAAGCGGCACTCCATGCCACGTCTTCGGGACATCTGCGAGCCAGAATCGGGGCCTGAACCCTGCGTGGTAAAGAGGATTGCAGATAGCAGCGTGCAGACAGACGATGAGGATGGAGAGGGCCGCTACCTCCTGACCAGGCGGCGCCGGACACGGCGGAGCGCTGACTGCAGCGTGCAGACTGATGATGAAGATAATGCTGAGTGGGAGCAGCCAGTGCGACGCCGCAGGTCTCGGCTCTCCCGTCACTCAGACTCAGGCTCTGACAGCAAGGCCGATGCCACTGCCTCATCGTCCACTGCTCCTACCACAGGGAGGGCCATGAGCAGCGTGGGCATCCAGACCATCAGCGACTGCTCCGTGCAGACAGAGCCTGACCAGCTTCCCAGAGTCTCTCCAGCCATCCACATCACAGCTGCCACTGACCCGAAGGTGGAGATCATCAGGTACATCTCAGCGCCAGAGAAGACTGGACGTGGGGAAAGCCTGGCCTGCCAGACTGAGCCAGATGGACACGCCCAGGGCGTGGCTGCAACACAGCTTGTAGGACCAACTGCCATCAGTCCCTACCTGCCTGGCATCCAGATCGTCACCCCAGGGCCCCTGGGCAGATTCGAGAAAAAGAAGCCGGATCCCCTGGAGATTGGATACCAAGCCCACCTGCCCCCGGAATCCCTTTCACAGCTTGTGAGCCGCCAACCTCCCAAGTCCCCTCAGGTCCTCTATTCACCAGTCTCACCGCTCTCCCCACACCGGCTCCTGGATACCTCTTTTGCTTCCAGTGAGAGGCTGAACAAGGCTCACGTAAGTCCTCAGAAGCACTTCACAGTCGACAGTGCTCTCCGCCAGCAGACACTGCCTCGCCCCATGAAGACCCTGCAGCGGTCCTTGTCTGACCCTAAGCCCCTCAGTCCCACCGCCGAGGAGTCTGCCAAAGAGAGGTTCTCCCTCTACCAGCACCAGGGGGGACTGGGTAGCCAGGTATGGGCACATGGGCTGGTCCAGGGTGGGAGAGGGATCTCTGCCTAGCCTGGGGGGGCCTCATAGGGAGGGATTTCTGCTGGGGTGGGGGTGGAGTCACCTCCAGCTCCAGAGGCCCAGAGGAAGGAGCCAAGGAATGAACTTCCTTGATGCACAACTGGTGCAGCCTACAGCCTGGCAAGGACATCCGGGGCAGGTACATACAATACACATACATGGGCCCTCACAACCATCCTGAGAAACCTCAGGCCCTCCTTAGCACTGCCTTTTCATGGTGCATATCTAGTCTAGCCCCTGCTGCCTCCCCTTCAGGCCTCTTCAGCTCTCCTGCTCTGGGCCCTCCCACTGCAAACTGCCTCACTGCCCCACTCCCCCCATGGATATTTCCCAAGGAAATCAGTATCAGGGGCTTGACTGGGCCGCTCCCCCTTCTCAGCTCCTGGCTTCCATGGCTCCATATGGGTCACAGTATACACTCTGCCTCATTCTGTCCCCTGCCCTACCTGACCCTTAGTAAATCTGTTTACATACCTGTCTGTGCCCCTAAATGGGGAGCTAGGGGGTTCCTGGAGCATAAACGTCCACATACCCATGGCTTTAGTTGTTGCTCATGTCCTGGGTCTGGGAGTGGCCTGCTATGGGTGCTGCGAAGGGAAAGATGGGTGTTTCATAGGTCTGGTGCAAAGGACTCGAGAGTTGGGCTGAGAAGGCTCACTTTTCTGAAAAGCTCTTGGAGCCTTTGGAGTTTTAGGCAGACGAGGCAGGACAGGAAGTATTTTAGAGAGCTTCCTGGGCAAAGTGTAGGCTGATGGACGGAAGGAAGAGCCTGCAGCAGTGGCCCTGGGGAGAAAGGGTAGGAACCAGAGGTATTATGGGATATATTTGCCCATATCTAGGTGTGGTGCAGAAGAAATAGAAGTGGGATCTTCAGGTGGGGTTGCAGAGGTAATGAGCTTAGATAGTGAGTGGGTAGGGGTGGGATCAGGAGTCTGGGCTAGCAGGGAGGGCTGGTCAGAGAGGCAGGGTGGTCCTGGCTCCAGACTAGGGTGGGCACAGAGGCCCCATGGCTAGCCATTAGGCATGATGGGCATTCATGGTGTGCAGCCAAAATAACAAAAGATGGACAACAAATTAGGGATTCCAGAAGGAAAGTTACTCCATTAAAGGCCCACTCTTTGTTCTGAGGTTTGGGGCACACTGTTATTTTCTTGATAATACATAGTAAGAGGTTTTATATAGTTGCTTGGCGAGGTAAAAAGAAGCTCATTGTCAGTTCCCAGTGTATTTTGGGGATTCGGGTGATCCATAAAACCCAAAAGCCTGGCGCGCTCTGAGAAGGCTAGGAGCTAGAGACAAAAGGAGAACCCGTGGGGAATGTGGATCTTCAGGCAACATGGGGCAGCCAGGGGGCAGGGCCCCATGGAGGGCAGTATTAGAGACCTTGACCAGGAAGCCATGCAGCTGGAGACAGGGCTGGTGAGGACCTAGACAGGAGCTGGCACCCTCAGAGAGCAGTGGGCTCATTGGGTTGTGGAGGGAGCTAAGGGCCTGCTGAGAGCATAGTCCAGAGCATAGTCCATAGTTTGGCAGAGGCTAGTGCATGGCAGCAAGAGGAGAGTTGGTAGGTGGCTGAATTTCATGTCACTTTAAAGAGAAGGGCAGGGGGGCAAAATAATGTCAGAACCTACAGCAACATACAGTCAGCATGGGCCACGTCCCAGGATCCTCTGGAACCTGGGGGCCAGGACCCATTCTATCCCTGTCCATGCTTCTCTACTGCCCTTGACCCTATCCCTGGCTAGGACCCCAAACCAGAGCCAGACCTTTTCTCTCTTCACCTGAGTACATGCAGTAGGAGGCAGCGGGTGACAAATCCGTTGGAAATGCACAAGGGCCTCAGCACCGCTGTGTGTCAGGTCAAAGCTTGAGAGACCAGCACAGAGAGGCATCGGTGCCTTCCCCACCCTCCTGCTAGCTGGAGCTCTGGAAAGGAGAAGCCCTATAAAATGCACACAGGCCTTCCCTCCAAGGCCAATGGGTGGGCAGGGCAGGTCTTGAGGCTACCTGGTGAAGTAAGGGGCTGACCTTCTGGGGTCCCTGCCCCAGCCCAGGACAGGGCTTTTCTACCCTGTGCCCCGCCAAGCCACCCACACCTTGGGTCTCAGTGCTGCCGCCCTTCCCTCTGTCTCAGGTGTCGGCGCTGCCACCCAACGGCCTGGTCCGCAAGGTGAAGCGGACACTACCCAGCCCCCCTCCAGAGGAGGCTCACCTGCCCCTGGCTGCCCAGGCCTCCCCACAGCTGTATGCAGCCAGCCTGCTGCAGCGTGGGCTGGCAGGACCCACCGCTGTCCCTGCCACCAAGGCCAGCCTGCTTCGGGAGCTGGACCGGGACCTGCGGCTGGTGGAGCATGAATCCACCAAGCTGCGCAAGAAGCAGGCAGAGCTGGACGAGGAGGAGAAGGAGATCGACGCCAAGCTCAAGTACCTGGAGCTGGGCATCACACAGCGCAAAGAGTCTTTGGCCAAAGACCGGGGTGGCCGTGACTACCCACCCTTGCGTGGGCTCGGTGAGCATCGCGACTACCTGTCAGACAGTGAGCTCAACCAGCTACGGCTTCAAGGCTGTGCCACTCCCGCTGGCCAATATGCAGACTTCCCTGTCACTGCTGCTGCTCCTGCCACCCCCTCCGGCCCCACTGCTTTCCAGCAGCCCCGGTTCCCACCTTCGGCCCAGCAGTACACTGCAGGCAGTGGTGGGCCAGCTCAGAACGGATTCCCAGCCCACCAGGCACCCACCTACCCTGGCCCCAGCACGTACCCAGCACCTGCATTTCCTCCTGGCACCAGTTACCCAGCTGAACCTAGCCAGCAAACTTTCCGTCCCACAGGCCATTATGCAGGCCAAACACCTATGCCATCTACACAGAGCACCCTTTACCCAGTCCCAACTGACAGCCGTGCCCCCCACCAAAAGCCGCGCCAGACATCACTAGCTGACTTGGAGCAGAAGGTACCCACCAACTATGAGGTGATTGGCAGCCCTGCCATAGCCATGTCTTCAGCCCCATCTGAAACTAGCTATAGCAGCCCAGCTATAAGCAGCAGCTACGAGCAAGGCAAGGCCTCTGAGCTGTCCCGGGCTGGTGACCGTGGTAGCAGCGCGAGCTTGAGCTCAGCCCCCACCTACCCTTCTGACTCACATTACACCAGCCTAGAGCAGAATGTCCCTCGGAACTATGTGATGATTGATGACATCAGTGAGCTGACCAAAGACAGCACATCCACGGCCCCTGATAGCCAGCGGCTGGAACCCATGGGGCCAAGCAGCAGTGGGCGTCCAGGGAAAGATCCTGGAGAATCAGGTGTCCTTGAAGGGCCTGCGCTGCCCTGTTGCTATGCCAGAGGGGAGGAAGAATCCGAGGAGGACTCATATGACCCCCGCGGAAAAAGTGGCCATCACAGGAGCATGGAGAGCAACGGCCGACCAGCTAGCACCCACTACTACAGTGACAGTGACTACAGACACGGAGCTCGAGTAGAGAAGTATGGTCCGAGCCCCGTGGGGCCCAAGCATCCCTCCAAGAGCCTGGCTCCAGCTGCTGTCTCCTCCAAGCGCAGCAAGCACCGGAAGCAGGGCATGGAGCAAAAGATCTCCAAGTTCTCCCCTATCGAAGAAGCCAAGGACGTGGAGTCAGACCTGGCGTCCTATCCCTCCCCTGCAGTCAGCAGCAACATACCCTCTCGGGGCAGGAAGTTCCAGGACGAAATCACCTATGGGCTCAAGAAGAATGTGTATGAGCAGCAGAGGTACTATGGGGTGTCCAGCCGGGACCCAGTAGAGGAGGATGACCGCGTGTATGGTGGGAGCAGCCGGTCCCGGGTAGCATCTGCATACAGTGGGGAGAAGCTGTCCAGCCATGACTATAGTGGCCGAGGCAAGGCGTATGAACGGGAACGGGAGGCTGTGGAGCGACATCAAAAAGGGGGACCCAAGCCCTCATCCCTGAGCATGGCCCATAGCCGGGCCCGGCCCCCCATGCGGAGCCAGGCCTCTGAAGAGGAGAGCCCTGTCAGCCCCTTGGGGCGGCCCCGTCCCGCCGGGGGCACCATCCCTCCTGGGGACACCTGTCCGCAGTTCTGCTCCAGCCACTCCATGCCTGATGTCCAGGAGCACATCAAGGACGGACCACGGGCTCATGCGTATAAACGCGAGGAGGGCTACATCCTGGATGATTCCCACTGCGTAGTTTCTGACAGTGAAGGTAATGGCAGCTGGGGATGATTTCTGCAATGCTCAGCTCTTGGGGCACCTGCCTGCCAGTGGGGCCCTGGGTCCCAAGATGTCCTAGCAGGCCCTCCTGCAGGCAGCCCTTCTTGCCTTCCCCACCCTCACCCTGGCCCTGGTTGTGGGAGGGTGGGCTGGGGGCATAGTGTTATGCTGGCGGCTGTGGCATGCATGCTGTGGTTTCCTTGCATGGCTTCTGACGGCCTCCCCCTGCAGCCAGCCCCGTGGGTTGATAGTGCTCTGTTTTTGGTCTCTGAAGCGTATCACCTGGGCCAGGAGGAGACAGACTGGTTTGATAAGCCCCGGGATGCCCGCTCTGACCGGTTCAGGCACCACGGGGGCCACGCAGTCTCTTCCTCCCAAAAGCGAGGCCCTGCCAGGCACAGCTACCACGACTACGATGAACCCCCGGAGGAAGGCATGTGGCCACCCGATGAGGGTGGCCTGAGTCGCCACACCTCAGCCAAGGAACACCGGCATCACAGTGACCATGGGCGCCACTCAGGCCGCCATGCTGGTGAGGAGCCGGGCCGGCGTGCTGCTAAACCACACGCTCGGGAACTGGGTCGCCATGAGGCCCGGCCTCACCCTCAGCCCAGCTCTGCCCCAGCCATGCAGAAGAAGGGTCAGCCTGGGTACCCCAGCTCTGCTGAATACGCACAGCCATCCCGTGTTCCATCAACATACCATCATGCCTCTGATAGCAAGAAGGGCTCCCGGCAGGCCCACTCTGGGCCTGCTGCAATGCAGCCAAAGCCAGAACCCCAGCCACAGCCACAAGGCCGGCAGGCAGCTCCAGGGTCACAGCAGTCACAACCGCCGCCATCCAGACAAACACCCTCAGCAACTGCAGCCCGCCAGCCACAGATGCAGCAGCAGCAGCAGCAACAGCAACAAGGTCTCGGGCTACAGCCCTCCCAGCAGGCCCCGTCACAGGCTCGGCTGCAGCAGCAGGGTCAGCCAGCCACCCGGGGCCCAGCCCCTGCAGCCAGCCAGCCAGCAGGAAAGCCTCAGCCAGGTCCTACAACAGCCACAGGCCCCCTGCCAACAGGACCAGTAAGTAGGCCTCCAGTGGATGGACCCTAGCCAGGGTGGGTGCTACTTGGACCTCCCCTTGGTTCTAGGCTTGGGCCAAAGTGATGGGTGCTATCTCAGCTATGGGTTCTGTGTTGCAGCCACGGACTGAACAGGCCAACGGCTCTAAAGGGATAGCCAAAGCACCCCAGCAGGGGAGGCCTCCTCAGACCCAGCCACCACCAGGATCTGGACCTACAGGTGAGCCTACTTCAGTGCCCTTGTCTTTGGCCCAGAGTACCTGGCTGGGTTCCTTCTCCCTGCACCTACTGGCACCCTGCACCAGCTTGGAACTGGTGCCTTCACTGCTCCCTAAGAAGGTGCCCAGTAGGCTGCAGACTTCCCCAGCAGAAAACAGCCTGGGGCTAGAGTGAGCCAATTCGGCCACCGGCCACCAGCACTGGGTTCCCAGCGCCCAGCAGCCCTGGCCGGGAAAGCTGGAAGGCATTGGTGAGTGCTGGGCGAGCACCGTGGCTTGTCACTTTCCAAACCCGCCCCTCCTCTCTCCGCCTTCTCCTCTGCCTTTTGCTCCCATTTGTCTTTTCTTTACCTTCCTCAACTTACTTTTTTTCTGCTTCCTCCCACTCCTTTCTGTTCTGATTCCTCTGTCCTCCTCCTTACCTTCCCTCCTCATAGAGTATCTGTGTTCCCACTCCAACCCTGAAGAGCTAGGCCAGCATGGCTCATGATGATGGTTTCTTTTCTCTAGGCGCAAAGGCTGGAGCCAGGCCTGGAGGGACCCCAGCGGCTCCTGCCGGCCAGCCTGGTGCCGATGGGGAAAGTGTGTTTTCCAAGATTCTCCCTGGAGGGGCAGCAGAGCAGGCTGGCAAGCTGACAGAAGGTATGATTGCCTGTAAACCAGGTACAGTGACAGCTGAGCCAGGGCCCTACTCTGGCAGAAATTGGGTCTGGGGAATGTTCTGGGTTTGTTCACCTAAGCCTAGGCCAACCTGAGGGCCTACCTGCTGCTGCTTGACAGTTCTCTGGGCAGTCTCTGTCTCTTACTTCACTTGGCTTCTCCATGGCCCAATCTGATGCATCTCTCCTTTTTCTACTTCACAGCTGTCTCTGCTTTTGGCAAAAAATTTTCCTCATTCTGGTGACCATTCCCTATAGGGTAAGTATGAGAACTCAACATCCCCTGGGAAAGGCCTGAGGTGCTCCAGGCGGCTCTAAGGCCAGAGGGGTCCTCCGGGAGGTAGCTGGTCTTCAGTGGCAAGTGATGTGAGTTGCAGTGTCCTCTCCAATGAGTGTGGGAGGAGGAGGAGGAAGATGCAAAGAAAAAGGAGGGGCCCTGTGTACAGAGGCCCCAACAAAGGCAAGCCAGGGTCAACAGCCCCTTGTCCTTCCCCATCCTCTCTGTCCACCTCCCCTGCTTCCCCCCTTCCAGCTATCAGCTGGCCTTAGGTGTGGTTCCTGGGATACAGCTCCCCCCAATCCTCCTCTGTAAATGCTCCACAGGCTCTTGAAGATATGAAGGGAGATGATATCATTGCTGTGGAAAAATCTCTGGAGTCAGAGGCCTGGGCGCAGCTCTGGACTCTGCGTATAACAGTGAGTGTCAGGACCAGAGTGGGTGGGCAGAGGAAGGAGTGGGGGGCCAAGCTTGGCTGATCAACTCTACTCAGTTTCTACAAGTGTGGGCTAGGAGGGCCCTTGTAGGCTTCCTTCAGCTGTGATGGGCCCAACAGCTACCTGGGAGGAGGAATCACTGAGTTAACTGAAAGGACTCAGTAACCTTGGGGAAGAGCTCAGCAAAGTTAACTATGCTAGCCCTTCCCTGCGCCCCCCAACTTGGGGTCTGTGGCTAGACACTAATCCCAAAGCTATTCTGGAGCTGTGGCTCCTGTGGGGCAGCAGACCCTTTCTCTGTGGCCTGGTGCCAGTGATTTTGCTCCAGCCACTTGGTAAGGCCCAAGTCCCAAAACCTGCAGAGCTCAGCAGCTCTGGGCATGAAGTCAGGGCACCATTGACTTCTCAGGCTGGCTTTGGGGCCTGCAAAATGGAAGGCCAGAATGAGCAGAGAGTCAGATGGGAGAGGGACAGAGTAGAAAGGGAGGATACCCGGACAGGCAGTCTCGACCCCAGAGCAGCTCAGCCCAGGGAGAGAGTGGCAACACCTTAGGAGGGGAGCCTTACCTGGGGGCTGCAGAGGCCAAGGCAGGATAAGAAGCCTCCTTCCTCCTGGGGCCTTCTCTGGCCCCACCCACACTCTGGGGGAGGAGGTGGTACATCATCCAAGATGGCAGGGAGGGCAGCCGCCCTGTACACATCTCCTACCACTGCCTAGCCTTGGGGCCCTCCTCCCTCTACTTTGCCACATCGTGGTGAGCAGGCATGTGTGTGGCAGGGCCAGGCAGTCATCAAGCAAATCACCAAGGTGCCCTGGGGCCTTTCTGAAGGAGGTGTGTGTTGTGAAACCAGTGGAGCAGAACTGTGGGGCAGAGGGGTTGGCTCAGATAAAGTGGCGGGTGTGAGTAAGGAGGTGGGAGCAGAAGAGGCTGCTTCAGGATGTGTCCAGGAGAGGAAAGAGCACCCGCGAGGCTCTGATGTCTGCATGAGATGCTTGGGCCTCTGGTGTAGGCACGAAGCCAGCAAGCCAGAGCCATAGTGGAGGTGTGAGGTGGTCGGGGCTGAAGCCTGGCAGGGGAGGATGGTGGGAGCCAGCTGGAGTGGGCTTTGTAGGCCAAAATAAAGAACCTGAATATTTCTAATTACCATAGCCCCAGTGCAGCACCCCAGTATCCTTCCTGCCGTCACAGTGGGCTCCCCTGCTGCTTTCCCACTTAGCTGGATGTTTCCTTGGAGCTGCCCTGGAACAGATGTGAAGTCAGAGCTGTACTGAGGGGAGGGGACGGAGGGGGAACCAGGTCCATGGCTGCACCAACCTTGGTTTAGAGTGGGAATTCTACACTGGGGAGGGAAAGGAACCGGAAGAATGGCCTTGTTCCATGTCCTGCCACGTGTCATGGGGGGACCACTGAGACGCTAACTGTGGTTAAATGCGTCTTCCCCAAGCTCTGGCATTTGGCAATTCTGTGAGTGTCCATCCTGTGGTGTCTTTAATGGTAAATCAGAAGTGGGCTGGGAGGTTTTCCATTTTATTTTAAACAAAGTCCCATATCCTGCGCTCATAAGCAAAGCAGAAATCAAAACGTGTGATGTATTGAAACAACATCCCTTCCTGGCCAGCCTGATTCTTCTTTTTTCCTGTCCTCTCTGTGAGCTCAGACCTGCCCAAACGTCTGTTCCCCCATACCTTGGTGCTATGGGGTCCGAGGGCGAGATGGGGTCAGGCTGTCAGCATGTGACAAGAGAGAGGACGGTGGGGGTGGGAAGCGGCTCTCCAGTACTTGACAAAACCCTTTTCTCTTTCCTTATGTCCTCCCCCCTTCCTTCCTTTTCTCTTCTAAGCACCTACAAACTGGCAAACCCTTGGCCCAAAGACTCACACCAGGTGGGACGTGGCGGCAGGCCTCAGTTCAGGACGGGATGTTTTATAATAGCAGCTGCCTGAGTGAAGCACCCGCTGGACAAGTGGGACCACTGGCCCAGGGATCTTTGATTGTCTTTCCAGAGACCCTGCTCCCCTCAGGGCGCTACCTTCAAGGCACAGGCGTTGCTGGGAGGCAGGAACCCTCTCCGGAAACCCTGCCGCTGTGGCGGTCTTGCTGCTCTTCCCACAGCCGCCTCGCTGCGGCCTGGCCAGCCAGGCTTCCAATGCGTTATACACAGAGTTTGGGTGCACGCTGCCTGTTTCAGATGGACGCTGCCCTCCCTCCACGATGCCAGAAGTTTTTCCACAGCCTTGGAAAGGGGCTTTGACTGAGGGTGGGGGGTCCTGGGCTCCGTTTCCTTCACATTCCAGCTGGCCCAGATCCCTCTGTGGCCACAGGACCCTGCCCCCCTCACCCTGCTCTCCGGGTGACATCGGAGCAGACCTCCACGTGGCTAGAGTGGGGTTGGGAGAACTTTACAAACATTAGGACCTAACACTGTCTCATCGCTGAAATAAGAGGCCATAGCACCGAAAAGCAGCGTGGGCGCCGGCTGAGACTTCTCCCAGCCCATGGGTGGCAGTGTGCCAGCTCGCCTGCCACCATCTCAAAGCCATCCCCCCAGCCATCGTGAGCACTCCAGCAGCACCACCATTGTCTCGACCAGCCGGCTCCTCATTCATACACCTGGGGATTTCTTTTGATTTCAACAGCAGCCTTAATCATTTCAGTTTGATTTACATGTATACCTCATAAACATTTTTCTTTTGTTTCTCCTTCTCTCTTTTCTCTCTCTTTGCCCACCTCCTTGCCTCTCCCCTCCACCACAACCTTGTGACTGATGGTTTGGTTTCTTCTCTGCTCTGTCCCTGCTCAGCACAGGGAGAATGTTGACTTAGAAGCAATAGTGGGCAGCAGGCCACCAAGAGCACAACCCCAGGGCGAGGTCTAGGGAGGCCCCTCAGCCCGCTTCTGTTTACTGTGCAATTCCAGTCCTTAAGCCATCACCAGTGGGCATGCTCAGAGCAGAGGGGCCAGGGCTTCTGCCAGCCAAGGGAAGGGCCCAGCGCCCTGTGTCGGGGAGTGTGGCACTGTCTGTCCACCTGGTGGGCTGGGCCACGTTCTTTCCCAAGGCCCTTCCCTTGGGGGCCTCCTTCATCTTGGGCACAGTCACAAGTCTCATCTCTAATGTTCTATGCAATGAAATATAAACCCTCAAAGACAACTGTTAATATTTAATAAATTCCATGTTATGTATAAGGAGTTAATTGCAAACCTGCAATTGAGAAACTGAATAGATATGCTCATATCGAACCCCCGCCCCTGTTCCCACCGTGTGTGTGAAACTCTCAGTCTGTGGCATGTTTGACCTGTGGCAGGACTCGCTGCTGCCAGGCGAGTCACCGCCTGTCCCGCAGCGGAGCATGCACAGCTCGCAGCCTCTTTGCACGATTTCATCCATTTTAAATGCTCGACCCTCTTGCTTGGAGTTCTTTTTGCCTCAGAACCTCTCCTTCAGGAGTGCTTCTAGCTGACTTCTGCACGAGCTAGTGAGGACCTGCTGGAACTTTCACCTGAGTGTGCCAGGCTGTGGGGCAGGCTGTATGAGGCCCCACATGCCCTGAGGCTTTCTCTGACCAAGATGGCAGGTGAACAGGAGTAGACACGCTAGAGGGAGCCCACGCATAGTGTGTGTGCATGAATGTTTTGAAGGTTTGTTGCAGGATTTCCATCTGTAAGTCGCTCCCCCTCTTACCCAAGCCCTGAGCCAGAGGCATCGGGCCACCCCTTCCCAGCTAAGGACTGCTCAAAGGCAGAGCTGGGCTGCGTCTGTGACCAGATAGACAGAGGCCAAGGGCAGGACCTGCCTCTGTCCTAGGGCCCCCACCCCATCCGCCATCTCTGACTGCACATGGCTCTCCTCTGTGGCTGGCTGCTTAAATATCTGTGAACCAAAAGATCTAGGCTGGGGTCAAGGGTCAAAGGGTGCTCAGGAAGAGCTGGACCTTTAACTGACAGTGTCATTTTGGACCAGAGTAGACATTCACATAGACCATGGCTCCCAACTGAATTTCTGGGGAAGCTGCTAAATAGCAAAACTTAGAGAAGGTCCTGTTGTGATCCTCTCTGTATCTGTCCCCAGGACCCAAACTCTCTGATCACCTCCATCTTTGAGGCTCCAGTATCCCAGTGCTCATCAGCTCTCTGAATGAGCCAAGTGTGCAGCCATCAGTTGCTTCCCAACCCCTTGAGGCCTACCCTTCTTGCAGAGTTCTCTGGTTTGCACCATGCGTTTCTCAGGGGTCCACATTTCTCATGCTTTCCAGTAAGGTCTACACACTCCTTCAGGGAGAGATCCTGGCCCATCTCTGGCAGCAGTGGATGGGACAGGAGACTGGCAATCTCTGTATCGGAACAGAGACTCTGGCCCTCTGGGATCTGGGCCTCACTCTCTCGTGGGACACCTGCCTCATCCCAGAGAGAAGACCCGGGCTGTATGAGGCCATCTGAGCAAGGGCTGAGGGAGGCCACCATCCAGCACCTCTGACCACCCAGGGCCAAGCCTCTCTGGGGATTGCCTAGTGACTGGATATTAGGGGGCCTGAGAATCCTTCCCACTAGAGGCCAGGGGATGGGGCAAGGAGCAGGGAACAGGCACAGAGATGACAGGCAGTCAGCCTCCATCGGGCCTAGTCTCAGGCTCTAAAATGTTGATTTTTCAGCAAATTTATTTCTGGCCGAGCCCTCTGAGTTTGAAATTTCTGATACCTGCCACTCCCTATCCTCCAATGTACCCACGAGACACATCTGTACCCATCACTCCTTGTAAAGGTGGCTGGAGTTCTGGGTCACAGGGGCCCTGGCCCTTGGTAGATGCAGCTAGGGCTGTGGGGGTGCTGCAGCCAGAGGCTGAGGGACCAGTATTTCGTGCGTTGGGCTGTGGGGAACATTAAGCACATCTCCAAATGGGATCCTGGCTTGTAGTCCAGGCCTTCTCCATACCTGCCTCCCCAGTATCCTAAGCAAGGGTAATGCCTCCTCTGCCCACTTCAGGAATTTATGGACTCACTTCACAGTGACACCCTCCTTCCCCACTATCTGCTTAGTCCTTGGGCAGAGAGTGGGGTCTCAGGGCTCATGATGAGAGGGCAGCAGTGGCAGCAACTGTGGCCTATCTGCTTAACATGTGGGGAGCTTTCTAGGCAGATCCTTTGCCATGGCAATATGGTCCTGGTCTGCTGGCCCCTCCCCTCTTCCTGCTCTCTTCCTCCCAATCTGTAAATATTTGTCACTGTAGACTCCAACAGGGTCAGAGGGATAGGCCTGATCAACTGAAACTCCTCAGAGATGTCATCTCTGTCGCCCTGTGCACCAGGGTACCAGCAACCCTGCTGCCGCCACGTGCACCAGGGTGGTACTGGAGAGCCATGAAAGTCTCGAGACATTGAGTGTGTGTGCATGTGTACAAGCGCGTGAGTGTGTATGTGTGTGTGTCTGCCTCATTCAGCCTCTGGGATCAAATCAGCTCCTCCTCTCCGAGTGCAATGCCTTGGAGGGTGGTGGCCGCCCAACGCCTTTCCTCTGCTAGCTCCCATGTCTTGTTTTTGCTTCCCCCTCACTCCTTCTCACCCTCCTTCCCCCTCTCCCTTTCTTTCCTTCTCTCCTTCTTTATTTGAGGGGGGAAGAGTGCTGTACAAAGTCAAACAAACAAGTTTACAGTTGTGAGTGCAATGACCCGAGTCCTCCACATGACCTTGTGAATTGTGTGCTGTCCTCCTGTGCTCTGTGAGAACTCGTGGTACTTCAGTGTCCCCCCACCCTGTATCGTGACAAGGTAACTCTGTGGTATCAGAATAAAAGGACTTGATATAAACAATCGATGCACTGTCTCTGGCTGGTTTCTGAGGTGGGAAGACTTAGTCAGAGCAACAAATCTCAAACTTGCAGCAACCCTGTCTGTTCACAGTTAAAGGAAAAAGACTGAAAGGGTGAAGTTGCAGAAGTGCTGGCAAAGCCATCCAAAGACAATAGACTAGGGCCTCCCTGGTGGCACAGGGGGTTAAGTCTCAGCACTATGAAGCTATTGGCAGCCATTGCAGCATGAGTTTGAACCCTGGCCAGGGAACTAACCCACATGGCACAGCAGACCTCTCCTGTCTCATCTGCTGCTCCCCCCAGCAGTCTATTTCATCAATCTGCCTGTTCTGCTCCCCACTATGTCTCTGGTGAATCCTCTCACCGCACCCTCCCCCCCATACCTCTGGCCTACACCCCAACTCTTGTATGCATATATAAATAAAATAAATCTTTGAAAAGAAAACCAAAGAATAGACTTTCCACAAAGGTGCCTCTGGTCAGTCCGAAGCTTGCCCCTAGAAGGAGCAGTTATTTCACTGCATAGACAGTTGAGAGATGGTGCCTCAGCCCTTTGTGTCCAGCTTGTACAGCTTTCTGAGGCCTGTTTCCTGGGTGAGCAAGTGCTGCCCCCTACTGCTGACAACTGGCTCTACATCAGCTGTGAACTCCAAATTCTTGGAAGCTGAGGACTTCAGTCCTTCCCCAAAGGCATTCCTTACCAAAAAAGCCCACAGTTGCTAGAAAAAATGTAAAACACAAATAAAAAAAATATCAGCTTTGCGTCTGACCTTCCTCCCAGAGCTAATATCTTGAAGTATGTCCTTCCTGTTTGTATTTCTCAATTCTTCATTTTAAACCGAAGCCTGAATCTTTAGTGTTCCCTCCTTATTACCCTTCTGTTTACATCTACCTGTTTATTCTAGGCACTTAGATGTCCCTCCTCCAACACCCAGACTCCAGAGAACTGCACTGAGTTCACAGCTGGTTGACCACATGGCCTGAATGACAAGCACCGTGTTCCTATTATAAATGGTATTGTGATGCATATCATAGTTTCTGATCTTTCCATCCAGGTTAGTGACAGGGCCATCTTTCTGCTCCCAGTTCTGAGTTTGACAGCCCTGCACACACTAGGTGCTCACATATGCAAGCCACCTCAGAAACTGGGGGTATTTTACTTATCTCATATGGTTGGCAGGAAAGAGGCTACAGACCAGGCAAGTGGAATCTCAGTCGAAGGCAAGGCCAGGAACTTGAGGTGTGTTAGACCAGCCAGGTGCCGGGCCTATGGAGTAGGGGACATGCTTGGAGGCCCTACTGCTGCCCAGGCTCTCCTGTTTTCCTTTACAATCATAACCCAGCCTGTCCTGCAGCACTGTGATCAGGCAGCCTGTCCGCCCAGGTTCTTCTTTCCACAAGAAATTCTCTGGGTCTAAGTGGAGCCACACCCCACATTGTGCACCCCAAGAACTTGGGCTTGGGGAGCAGGGGAACACACAGAAGACCACTGCTCACCATCCTCAGTAAGACACCACAGATCAGCACTGGTGAAGGTTTCAGGGCCAGATAGCTTCTAGGGGTAGGCCTGGTGACCGATAAGCCCAGGCAACACCCTGAGAGCTGGGCACCCGCCCTTCTTTGCCCTGCAACCCAGGGTGCTGCACTCTGGGCTCTTGGTCTTCATCCGTTTGCCTGGGAGATCCTCCCGGGCAGGACCAAGCAACGTCTAATGAATATTTGCCTCTTTGTGGACCAGGGGAACCCGACCATCAGCCCTAGAGCTGCTGGAGACCCCAGGCGGGCAGGCGTAGGCGCCTACTCATCCTCACGGTTTCTTGGACAGCACCCTTTCCAGCGCACGCTTCCAGTTGGCCCTGGCCCACCCCTCATCTTCAAAGAGTCACTGGTGCGCATCCCTCTCAGGCACTGCTTAGGGCCCACCCCGTCCGACCAGGCTTCGGTCAGCTCGCGGTCCAGTCCTGCCTCGGACCTCGCCCCTTCCACCCGCAGGCCGCGTTGTTCCTTACAGACCCCGCTCCTCTGTAAAGACACCTTCCCGTATTTCGTTTCCGCGGCGCATCCCTTCTCCTCGGGGATCCCATTCCCTCCCCTCCCAGTAACAGGCCTGGGGCTGGGCCCACTGGCCCCGCTGCTGCTCAGCCCACACCGCCCCTGGAAGGCCAGCTGCTCCGCCCGAGGTCCCCGCTCCTGCAGACCGCCGCAGGCCCCGCCCCCTGGCCACCGCGGCCCCGCCCCTCTGCTAACGGTCCTCGCCCATTTGTTGGCGGCCCCGCCGCGCTCCGGCCCCGCCCCCCTGCGTCACTTCCGGGCGCCACACGCCCCGCCCCGCCCCCGGCAAAGAGCCACCATGGAGCGGCAGGTGAGGGCACGGCCCGCGGTTCCCGTGGTCCCTGAAGCCCGGGCCGGGCCTGACCCTGATGTGTCCCCTGCGCAGGTGCTGCTCAGCGAGCCCGAGGAGGCGGCGGCGCTGTACCGGGGCCTGAGTCGCCAGCCCGCGCTAAGCGCCGCCTGCCTGGGCCCAGAGGTCACCACACAGTATGGGGGCCGCTACCGGACGGTGCACACCGGTGTGTGTATGGAGGGGAGAAGGGTGGCGGGCCCATCGCGGGGCTGTACACACGGTGTAGAGGGGGGGATGTGAAGGGCTTGCTGCTTAACAATGCACACAGGTGTGTGGGTGAAGATGGGGCTTGGAGGGAGTGGGGATGAAAGGGTGCACCCCCCAGAAACCCATGCACACGTGTGGGGGTGGGTGGGAGGGAGTATGGAGAGCTGGTTGGGGCTTTGTGGGATCTGCCGTGAGTGTGGGAGTTGAGAGGGTGGGATAGAATTCAGGCCTGTCACCCTACCCCATATGCATGCCAAGCTGGCCTGGGGGTTCTGGGATGGGTTCTGAGAGCAGCGGTGGTTTCTCCAGGAAGCCCTCCACTCAGGCTCTAGGGCCTAGACTTGGGCTGTGGCCAAGGGTGGCCTATCCTGTATCCAGAATATCTGGAGACAGACTGAGGAAAGCGGGCTAGACCTTGCTGGGGACCAGGAGCTTGAGGTGCAAGTCAAGCAGTCTCATGCCTCTCCTCGCAGAGTGGACCCAGAGGGACCTGGAACGCATGGAGAACATCAGATTCTGCCGCCAGTACCTGGTGTTCCACGACGGGGATGCAGTGGTGTTTGCAGGGCCTGCGGGCAACAGTGTGGAGACCCGGGGGGAGTAAGTTTGAGAGAGGAAGCTGTGGGCAAGGCCCCAGCCATCTGCAAGCCTTTCATGAATGTCTGGGTGCAGGGAGGGCCCAGAAGAGAGGCTAGGAGTCAGGTTCCTGCCCCAGGAGCTTATGTGGTCTCTGGAGACGTGATTTGATAAGCACTGGAAGCTTGTTCCAAATGTGGGCCTGGGACTAGAGCCTGTGGAGACTCAGAGAGGCTGAGGAGAGTAGATATTCCACCCAGGGAAGAGAAGCAAGGCCAGCTGCCATGGTGGGGGGAAGAGGGGCGGGCTGGAAGGGCTGCAGGGTAGATGTGGAACCAAAGCGTCAAGAATATTTTTTTTTTTAAGAATTATTTTTTTATTTATACAATAGCTGGGGTATAGGCCAGAGATGCAGGAGGGTGAGAGGATTCACCAAAGACAGAGTGGGGAGTAGAACAGGCAGATGGGCCAGAAACACTGCTGAGGGGAGCAGTAGGCAGGGCAGGAGAGGTCTGCTGTGCCATGTGGGTTTCTCCCTGGATGGCTGGGAATCAAACCCGCGCTGCAGAGGCTGCGGACAGCTTCACAGTGCTGTGCTCAACCTGCTGTGCCACCAGGGAGGCCCTTTTTTGTGTTTTTTTTTTTTAAGTTTTGTTTATGCATACAAGAGCTGGGGTACAGGCCAGATGCAGGGAACTGAGACGATTCACCAGAAACAGAGTGGGGAGCAGAACAGGCAGATCTACTGAAATACACTGCTGAGGGGAGCAGCGGGAGAGACAGGAGAGGTCTGCTCGCCATGTGGGTTTCTCCCTGGATGGCCAGGGATCTAACTTGTCCTGCAGAGGCTACGGATTGCTTCATAGTGCGGTGCTTAACCCCTTGCGCCACCAGGGAGGCCCAGCCTCAAGAATCTTATTTACAAGCTTGTGGCCTGTAAGAGGACAGGATGCAACTGTCTTTAGATGGGAGGGAATCCTGACCTACCATCCTATGTGGTCTGCAGGCTGCTAAGCAGAGAATCTCCTTCAGGCGCCATGAAAGCCGTGCTACGCAAGGCTGGAGGCACGGGCCCCGGGGAGGAGAAGCAGTTCCTAGAGGTGAGTCTGGATGGGTCCAGGTGGTGAGCAGTGGGGCTCAGCACCACAGATGAGGCTGTGTTGGAGGGCAGACAACCTGATGCCCAGATGTCCTCAGGTCTGGGAGAAGAACAGGAAGCTCAAGAGCTTCAACTTGTCGGCGCTCGAGAAACACGGGCCTGTGTATGAGGATGGTGAGGCAGCTGGCTGGTGAGCAGTAAGGGTGGACAGGAGGGGCATCCACAGCCCAGGGCTCACCCTGATGACTGGCTCTCCCTGCATCCAGACTGCTTTGGCTGCCTGTCCTGGTCGCACTCCGAAACACACTTGTTGTATGTGGCAGAGAAGAAGCGCCCCAAGGCTGAGTCCTTCTTTCAGACTAAAGCCTTGGACGTCAGTGGCAGCGATGACGAGATGACCCGGCCGAAGAAGCCAGATCAGGCCGTCAAGGTGCTCATGGCCATGGCCTGCCCATGAAGACACTTCAAGATAGCCTTGGGGTTCAGTGTGTTCCTTGTCCACACTGCCCATCTGAGCTGGGGAGGCACTGACCACCAGGGAGCAGGGTGGGGTCTAAGGCATTGAGTGGGCACTGAGTGTCTTGTGTTCTCAGGGGGACCAATTTGTGTTTTATGAAGACTGGGGAGAAAATATGGTTTCCAAAAGCATCCCTGTGCTCTGTGTGCTGGACGTCGAGAGCGGCAACATCTCTGTGCTTGAAGGGGTCCCTGAGAATGTGTCCCCCGGACAGGTTAGCACTGACTTGGCCTACATCATTCCTGGGTCTGGGGGCTCTGCCTGAGTTACTGCTCCTTGTTCATACCTGCTCTGTGGTCTTGTTTACAGGCATTCTGGGCCCCTGGAGACACAGGAGTGGTGTTCGTAGGCTGGTGGCACGAACCCTTCCGGCTAGGCATCCGCTTCTGTTCCAATCGCAGGTGAGGACGGAGGGCAGGGAACGGGCCTTGCCACTCAGGCTGGCCTTGAAGCTGAGTGTCTCTCTGGCTGTTCCAGGTCAGCCCTGTACTACGTGGACCTCACCGGGGGGCAGTGTGGTAAGTGGCTGGTGCCCACCTGTCCTGTGCTGACACACACTGGCCATGCCAGTCTGTATGATGCTCACATTTCTGTCTGGTCCAGAGCTGCTCTCGGGTGCCTCTCTGGCGGTCTCTTCTCCCCGGCTGAGCCCAGACCATTGTCGCGTCATCTACCTGCAGTACCCATCTCTGGTTCCCCATCATCAGTGTAGCCAGCTGTGCCTGGTAAGCTGGAGGTGGGCGGGGGGCAGTCAGCACGAGGAGGGGATGGTGGATGAGAGCTGAAGGAAGGGTCAGCTTTGTCTCCTGGGCCCTACAGTGGACCTCTTGTCCTGGTCACAGGGATGGTGTGAGTTTGCTGGTCCTTCTCCCAGGGCAGGGCCTGGAGACTGAGAGCATTGTCAAAGGAAGCTTTGCACTGTCAGGACTCACTGCCTTGATAGTATTCTCTGTCTGTAAGAATGTCCCTCCCTTTGCTTCTCATTTGCACGTGGCCAAGATCTATGAAGGGCTGGGGTAGTGTGTAGTTAGAGTCTTACTCCTTACCCAAGAAGAGATATGGGCCCATGGTGAAAGCAGAGGTCCCTCCAGATGTCTGGCCCAGATCTCTAGAGAGGATATACAGCAGGTGTAGGTCCCTTCCTGGGGCTCTCAGAGAAGAGGTCAGATATAGATCTCTGCACCCTGGAGGTGCTGCCAGTCTCCTGGTGGACCTGACTATGGTGCTCTCTTGCAGTATGACTGGTACACCAAGGTCACCTCGGTAGTGGTGGACATCGTGCCTCGGCAGCTGGGAGGTAAGTGGTGTGTGGTTGGGTGGGTACAGTGGAGCCGGCAGCTCCTCGCAGCCAACCACCTCAGCTCTTCCTTCCTGGGCTCCTTCTGAGGTCTCCTTGCTGGGCTGACCCCATGACCAGCCTCCACAGGGAGTGGGACTATCACCACAGGGAACAGTTCTGAGAGAAGGAAGTCAACTGGATAAAAGCTGAGATGAGAGCAGCCCAAGCTAGCTAGCTGAGGATTGAGAGTATTTCATTCCCGGGGTACAGAACATAATTAATTTGTCTTGTTTTTCCAGTGACTAGTTCACTGCTCCTTCGAGGACTCTCAGAAGGTGGGCATGGCCTGTTTGACAGGCTCTAAGCTCATGGGTGTTGCATTTCCCACACCGGCCCCAACCCAATGTCTGTCTCGCCCAGCCCTTAAGTCAGCAGTGTCACTGGCAGGAGTTGGGGGTTTGGGGTGGGGGTGGTGGGGAGGGATGGCTGTTGGCCGACAGGTTCCTGTCACAATTTCGGGTGCCTGCAACTCTACTTGGGATCCTGGACCATCCCAAGGGATGAGACTCTCTTGCCTTCTCAGTTCCAAGAGTCCAGTGGACAAGGGATGGACTTCTCCTGTTTTCTTTGGGTTGCAGGCATGCAGAGTGGTGGGGACAAGGTCTGAGTCCCAGCACTGCCCCAGATTAGCTGTGAGTCCCTGAGCTTCCGTTTCCTCATCTGTGGAGGGGTTAGTTGCCTTCTTTGTAGGATTATAGTGAGGGTTAAAAGAGTGATGATGTTAAAGGGTAGTTTTTATTCAGTGCCAAACACTGCTGAGCACTATAGTGGGCAGACAGGTGCTATTCTGTGTCCCCCGTGGGCCCAGTAAAAGCAGCTCATAGGAGGGCCGGGATATTTCTCCTGAGTACACCCGTTTCCTCTCAGAAGCTCTTGAGCTCTGCCTCTCTGGGGTCCTTAGAGGTCTCTGTTCCTCAGCCCCCTTTTCCAGCAGCTCCTCATCACTGAGGGTGTCCTGTGTGTGGACTGCCATTCTGTCACAGTTATGGGCCTCTGTGACCCCTGTCTTGACCCCCAAACCAGTGCTCCTCAACCATCCCCAGCCCTCCCATCTTTGCAGAGAACTTCTCTGGGATCTACTGCAGCCTTCTGCCTCTGGGATGCTGGGCGGCGGATAGCCAGAGAGTGGTTTTCGACTCAGCTCAGCGCAGCCGTCAAGTAAGGGTCCCTGGGCCTGGGGTGTAACATATGCCCACCCCTGGGTGGGATCCCAGCCACCCCTTAAGGCCTCGTCTGCCCTATCCTGACTCACTTCTTGAGGGGTCTGGCTGCCCCGTGCCCCACAACAGAGCTCTTGGCCTTCCTCCTGAGGCAGACATGCAACCCCCTGGGAATTTCTAGCTGGGAGACAAGGGGGCTGCCACAGGGTGGGCCCCTGAAGACTGTGTGAGGAACTGATTGGTGGAGATGGGACAGAGCCCTTCTCCCAGGGCAGAGGCACTGACAGCATGTCAGGTTTCTTTAAGATGTGATGGGATTTGGTTCTTCGGCCAGCTCACAGGGACTCCGAGGCATTTCTTACTTTGCCCAGGATTACTCAGCAAGTGTCATAGGGCTGGGATTTGAATCCAGGCCCTAAGGACATTCCCTATTGCACTGAGTAGCCATTGCTGTAGTAGCTCACGGTCTTGGCCTGACCTAGGGGTCCCCGGAAGGTAGAGAGGAGGTAGGATGGGACCCATAGAGCACCTGGATGTGGCACCACATGCGCCTCCCCTCTGTCTCAGGACCTGTTTGTTGTGGACACCCAAGTAGGCAGTGTGACCTCCCTGACGGCTGGTAAGTAAACTGGCCAGGTCAGGGTGGGATTGGAACTCGAGAACATGGAGGGCAGCACTAACTGTTCTGCAGCCTTTACTGACAGCTTTGCAAAGACCTTAAGTCTATAGGACCCTTACTCAGCCAACAGACTCCCTCCCCTATTCAATTCTGTCCATAATCCCTATCCCCAACTCCACTCCTGCTCCTCAAACCCACAAAACTCTCTTGCCAAGATTAGCCAGTCATCCCTCCCACTCCCCAAACCTTGAGGGCACTATCTCAGGCAGAGGTAACTCTGCCACCCAGGGGCAGAAGTTCTATGTTGACTCACTAACCTTTCTTTTATCCTGTCCTGGTGACTTTGCCCCTCAAACATCCACCTGCCCTTACTATAGTTGTTCCTCCATAAAGCTTCCAAAGTATTATCCCCAGACTACAACTCACCACACTCCCTGCATGGACCCCACTGCCCAGAATTGGCACCCCCTAGTCCTCTGGGCCTAGTGCCACCTCTGCAGATTGTGCCACAGTAGCCCAGTGTGTCCCCAGGGCCATATAGTGACCGTCACTGTGGGTGTCCCTTTGCTTCTCAGGCTGGAAGGGGCAGCCAGGGACTCTGGCTCTGCAGGGGTTGGGTAGAAAAGGTGACCGCTGCCAGAATCTTAGTGACATCTGCCTTCTCCAGGGGGGTTGGGTGGAAGCTGGAAGCTGCTGACAATTGACCGGGATCTCATGGTGGCACAGTTCTCCACACCCAGCCTGCCCCCAAGCCTGGTGAGTGTCAGAAGACAGGGGTTCTGTGCAGGCAGAGCTCCGCAAGTCAGGGAAGTGGCCCCAGACCAGGGCTGCTCAGTGTAGGAAAGGCCAAGATGGACCAACCCAGCATGGTCCATGAGGGTCTGGCACCCACAGGGATAACTACTGGGCTAGAGTCTGCTCTGTGTAAAACAGTGTACCGGGGAGAGTGCCCCGCTCTTTGGCTTAACAGTGTGGGAAGACAGTAGAGCCTAGAAGCTGAAAAAGGAGGGAGGGAGGGTGGATTATATGCATGTTTATGTGTGTAAGTACCTGTGTATATACCAGCTCACCACAGGAGTCCATCCCATACCTCTGGAGGTGGATAGCAGACCCAGCATAGTGAGAGCTGCCTACCTGCACCCTGGGCAGAGGTGGGAAGGTGTGGAGGCAGCCAGTCTACCTATAACACACTCCTTCCCTTTGCAGAAAGTTGGGTTCCTGCCTCCTGCAGGGAAGGAGCAGGCAGTGTTATGGGTGTCCCTGGAGGAGGCCGAGCCCATCCCCAACATCTCCTGGAGCATCCGAGTACTGCAGCCACCCCCTGAACAAGAGAATGTGCAGTATGGTGAGCTGGACTGGGAACAGAGGGACACCTTTGCCGGTTCCCCAGCGCCTATCTTTTATGGGTCAACTTTCCTGCCTCCTGTCATATCGTTGGCTTTCTTGGGATTACCTCAAAGGGGTTTTCTGTTCCTCATGTGGGGAGTCATGGGAGTAGTGTCCAGGCACCTACTCTGTGTATCAGAGCTGGACACCACCAGGCGAAATAATCTGTGGTGGGAAGACCGGGGCCCAAAGAGATCTCTGTGACCACCCTATCTGGAAGTCTGTCTCTGTAGAAAGCAGGGCTCCCTTATTGGAGCAGAAGGAGTGTGAACCTCCTGGGGTCCTTGTATGGGCAACCTTGGCCAGGTTTCTACAGCTGAGGCCTTGCTGGGGAAACCCTGGGCAGTAGCGCTGGCCCTGCCAACTGCTCTCTCTCCCTGCAGCTGGACTTAATTTTGAAGCAATCCTTCTACAGCCCAGCGACCCTCCAGATAAGACCCAGATACCCATGGTGGTCATGCCGCATGGTAAGCATCTGGCTTAAGCGCCCCTGCCCTCCTACCTCTTACCCTTTCCTAGCTGGCTTTTTCTCCCTCCACTTCCTGTCTGCAGGGGGACCCCATTCTTCTTTTGTCGCTGCCTGGATGCTGTTCCCAGCCATGCTTTGCAAGATGGGCTTTGCAGTACTACTAGGTGAGTAAGCAGAGCCCCGTGGCTCTATGGGAGTGTGGCAGGTAATGAGGTGGCTTGGTTTGTACAAATGCCATGGGTGCCACCCCGGTCTTCAAGCTTCTCTGTAACCCAAACTGGGTAACTACTACCAAAAACTGCCCTGGCCCAGCCCTCCGTGGGGTGGTGATAACATGGGACTTCCATGGAAAGTGTGCTGTGCTCACTGGGAAGCCTCCAATCTCTTGGCCCCTTCCCCTTGACAGTCGTGGTGCAGCTGGCCCCAGGGCCTACTTCACAGGTAGGTAGGTAAAAGGGTGTTCAGGAGATTGCAAGTGTCATTCGACCACTGTCTGGTCCCTCCCTCCAGTGAACTATCGTGGCTCCACGGGTTTTGGCCAGGACAGCATCCTTTCCCTCCCAGGCAATGTGGGCCACCAGGATGTGAAGGATGTCCAGGTAGGGGGCTGGGGCTTCTGAACAGCTGGGGGTAGGCTGTGGTAGATGTGGCTGCATTCAGCTGGGCAGGCAGCTGGCTGCAGTGTACTCTCCTCCCTCCCCCCATAGTTTGCAGTGGAGCAGGTGCTCCAGGAGGAGCACTTTGACTCAAGTCGAGTGGCCCTCATGGGTGGTTCCCATGGTGGCTTCCTCTCCTGTCACCTGATTGGTCAATATCCAGAGACCTACTGCGCCTGCGTGGCACGCAACCCTGTGATCAACATTGCCTCCATGATGGGTTCTACTGACATCCCTGACTGGTGGGTGTGCTCCACAGGCTCCGGCCTTTCTTTCCTCCACCTTATACCTCCGTGGACTCCTGCAGACCCCAGAGCTCCTGGGGCTGCATGAGCTCAAGTCTCTTGCAGGTGCATGGTAGAGGCCGGCTTCCCCTACAGCAGTGACTGCCTGCCAGACCTCAGTGTGTGGTCTGAAATGTTGGACAAGTCTCCCATTAAGTATACTCCTCAGGTAAGCAGGCCTCCCCCTGCCCTGTGTGCAGCTGGCGTGTCTAGAGAACGAGGCCCTGCTCACCACTCCTCCCCACACACCCAGGTGAAGACCCCACTGCTACTGATGCTGGGCCAAGAGGACCGGCGTGTGCCATTCAAGCAGGGCATGGAGTATTACCGTGCCCTCAAGGCCCGGAATGTGCCTGTTCGGTGAGTGTAGCATGATAGCCCTGGCAGCTGGTGGGTAGGTGTGCACGGGAGGACCCTCCAACCTCCAACATTGCTGCCCAATCCCTACAGGCTCCTGCTCTATCCCAAAAGCACCCATGCACTGTCAGAGGTGGAGGTGGAATCGGACAGCTTCATGAATGCTGTACTCTGGCTGCGCACACACTTGGGCAGCTGAAGCCCTGCCGCTCCGAATGAGTTGGTTGGCCTTTGTCACACTTTGCTCCTGGAAAGCCCCAGGGTCTGGCAGAGTGGCTCCTAGGCTCTTGACCCCGTGGATGGGTAGCCAAGGATTGTGGGCTGTCTAGTCATAATAAATGAGGACACAGAGTCTAGTTCTAAGACTTGGTACCAAACCATCTCTAACCCCAGCCCCACTCTGGGGTCAGGGACTCTAGGCCCTGAATGTGGCAGCCACAAGGAACTCATCTTCCTCCAGTATGAGAGGCTCAGCTGCTGCCTTTCCTGGCCAACTGGGATTCCACCAGGCGAGCTTGAGCTCTACCTTATCCCTGTCCCAACAGTGTGTGTGTCTAGGGCACCAGTGAAGCCTCCCTGTCCTTTCACAGCACCCACAGACTAAGGTAGTGATAGGGTCAGATCACCCAGGCCCTAGTGAGGAATTGCCAACTCATTCTTTAGAAGCACAGATTAAGAAGCACCCAGCACAGGCAGAAGGAGGAAAGGTGGCTTTATGTCAGGCAGGAAACGTCATTCTCCCCAAGGCCCATGAAGTTGAGGCCACACTAGTCCAGCTTCATGACCTTGTGAATCCAGTTTGTAAACACTGAGACACGAATAAAGATGGCTGGCCAGCGGGGCCGTGCACACACTCGGTTGGGGATTATAATTCCCTCCAGGACCCAGCAGTCATGAGTGAAGCAGGCAAGTGGGCCCCCGTAGTCACCCTGGTAAGTGGGAGAATTGGTGAGGGGGCCCTGGGCCATGGCAGTGACTACCCCCCTTTGGGAGTGGAGTAGCCCATTTTCAGCTTCCCACACCCTCCCTGGGCTGGCCATTAACCCTGCCACTGACCTCACAGGCCCCCACAGGGGCCATCAGCCCTTCAGTGCACATCTCACTCTCGCGTACCCGTCCCCGGTGCTTGATGTTGCATTCTTGGTTGGAGATGACATTCAGTGAGGCCACATTTAGGACCTTGTTGTCACCTGTACCTACAGTGAAGGGGGTGGGAAGGAGAGGGCCTTTGGGTAGGAGCCAAGGCTCGGCCTTCAGGTCCTGAGCAGTCCATGTCCTGCTGTGTGCTCTTACCTTTGGTCTCGCCCCAGCCTGCGATCTCACACTTGGTCCCTGGAGGCACCACATACCGTTCAGGGGGCAAGCAGATCAGGGCCACACGCTGGTTCAGAGTCACGGGTCTTTAGCAGAAATGAGGGCACTCAGGGCCTGAGGCTACAAGGCCTAACCCCCACCTTACACCCTCTTGACTGTCACACACCTCTCCAGCTTGAGCAGAACTAGCTGGGAGCCTGACGGCCCACACACCATCTTGACCACTGGGACCTGCTGCAGGTCTGGCTCCCCAGGCTGTGGGTTCTGAAACAGGGTGCCCAGCCACACCTCATAGCCCACGAGAGGCACATGGCTGGGGGAGAAGTTCTGCTAGATCAGTTGTAATTCATAGTCTACAGTCCCAGGGCTTGCTAGGGGAAGATGAAGGCGGCGGTGGTGGGGTAGGGGGCAGGTGGAGGCGGTGAGACTGGGTCCCCTAACCCAAGGGAGGCTCACCAGGAGGAAAAGCACTGCCGAGCCGTCAGTACCCACTGCTCCTTCACCAGGGATCCCCCACAGAAATGCTGGCCCTGCCTGGAGTAGTGGGGGTTAGAAGGGGGAAAAGTGAGTCCTGGACACAGGCAAGACCTGCATCTTTTGGCCAGAGCTTCTGAGGCCAGGGACAGATCTGCCACGCCTGCCTACATAAGCACCAAAAGTACCCTCCATTCTTTCTTGAAGAGACAGGCAGTCGTCACTCACCGGTTGCGCAAGCTGACTGTCCAGGGTGAATTCCCAGGCTGGCCCCCTACCACACGCAGCCGGAAGCGCCCCTGGTTCTGGCGAGCCACTCTCTTGCCACATTTCTCAAACAGCACCTGGTCTGGCGCATAGGATGGCAGGATGAAATGACTGGGTGGACAGATGGATGGCTAAGAAACCTAGATCCATACCTGACCCAAGTCTGTACCTGGGTGCTCCAGGATGGATGGTGGCTGGTCACCATCTGAAAGACCCAAGTTTGCCCAGGTTAAAGGAGCCAGCCTTTGGCAGTGCAGCGTGTGGGCAGGGTAGGGGATTGCCTCTGGTGCTCACCACAGCGCCTCAGTGCACAGTAGTCAAACGGTGTGTGGGGGTCTGTAGTGTAGCACCAGGGCCCATGGCTGTCCCCATCAGGGTTCCGGCAGAAGTTCTCCTCCAGTTGAGCATGGGGGGCAGAGGCGGGAGTGAACCTGGACAAGAGGGGGAGCAAAGTCAGGCTAATCCCAACGCCCTCAGGGCTCCTGTTTGAGAGGCCACAGTGTGCCACCTCAGGGTTAGGCCCAGAAAGGGTCTGTGGCCTTGGTCTGAGAGGGGCCTGGTGTGCTGCTGGACTCACTGTGGCTTGTGTGGCGTCTTTGTGGACCAGTGCTGGCATGGGACACCCTTGCGGGTCTTGCTGACTGAGCCACGGTATTGCTCCCCCGTGCCATAGTAGCAGTCTGCTGGGCAGACAGGAGGGCAGGCGAGAACCGCCATCAGGCACAGTTCCTGCCCCAGCCCTCCCACTCCAGCCCCCGGCCTCAGCTGGGGCTTACCCTCTGGCTGCACATCGTCCTGGCAGCGCCGGATCTGGTAGCAGAAGGCCACGCGCATGCCTGGCCGTGTTGTGAAGCACCAGGGCGCCTCTGAGCCGTCAGGATTCCGGCAGAAGTTCTCCCGAAGGTCCCTGAGCAGGTCCCTTAGTCTCCATGGGGTCCCAGTGTGCTGGCCCGCAGGCAGCCAGCCTTGATTTGGAGCTCAGCCTCCGGTTTCCCCAGCCCCGCCCCGGGACCACCCTCCTCAGGTCCCAGCTGTCGCCCGCCACCTCACTTGCATGCGTATTTTTCTGGAACAAAGCGATGCTGATGTGGGTGCTGTGCATCCCAACGCTGGCAGGGCACGCCCGCAGCCGTGGTGTTGGCCGTGCCTCGGTAGCCTTCGCCCTTTCCACGAAAGCAACTGAGCGTTGTGGCCTCTTGGTGCGACTGTGCCTCCGACCCTGGATGGATCCCAAGCAGAAATAAGCCCCTGGCTAGGACTGAGCCCCATTCTCCCTGGTCCCTGTAGTCCCTGGGGTTTGTTCTTTGCCCGCAGCGGCTGCTGCTGGGTCATGCTCATCCCCTCATCTCTCTCCAGCCAGGCCTCCTCTCACATGCCAGGTGCCCGCCCAGACTCAGCCCTAGCACCCTACCGCAACGGGGGATGTTGCAGAACTCTCGTTCGAGCTTTGGGTCGGTGGTATAGCACCAGGGCCTTTCGGAGCCGTCAGGATTCCGGCAGTAGTTATCATCCAGGTGTTTGTCCAGGAACCTGGGGGTGGTGGTGAGATGTGAACAAGACCCTGGGACTCCGACCCTGTCTGACTCCGACCAACTACCACCTTATGTAGGGCGATTCCAGGATTCCCACTGGGACCCCAGCCCTGCATACTTGCTGGGTTCGAAGGGGTGTGGGTGCGGGTGCTGCAGGTCCCAGCGCTGACACTCCCGTCCTGACTCAGTGCGGTCTACTGCTCCACGGTAGTCTTCACCATTGCATCGAAGGCAGGCAGCTGGAGGTGGGGCATGGGGAGTCATGGGAGTGTATGGACATGACCCGTCCACCCAGTCTCAACCCAGAGCCACTCACCATCCCAACAGGACTTGATGCCACAACTCTGGAAGCGCACAGCAGAGTTCATGGTGTAACACCATGGGCCTCCGGGGTCCCTGTCAGGGTTGCGGCAGAAATTTTCCTCCAAGCCATTCCGGGGTGTGGGTGTGTACCTGGGGGCAGAGAGCAGCACTGCAGTGCGTGCTGGGGGCAGACACGGGCAGGGTGTAGGTGGAAGATGTCTGTCTCACTTGTGGTCATTGGGAAACTTGTGGTTCCAGTGCTGGCAGGGCAGGCCCCCTGTGGTGACGGCTACCGTCCCCCGGTAATGCACGCCACTGTCCATGATGCAGGTCCGCACATAGTCTGGGAGCGAGAGACAGATGGCTACGGTGGCCTGAGGCCCTCACTCCCTTAAACCCTGTCCTGCCTTTCTCCGCAGTCACTTGCCTTTCTTTTTTTTTTTAAAGATATATTTATTTATGCATACAAGAACTCGGGTGTAAAGCAGAGGCATGGGTGGTGAGAGGATTCACCAGAGAGAGTGGGAAGCAGAACAGGCAGACTGACTGAAATACACTGCTGAGGGGAGCAGCGGGCGAGGCAGGAGAGGTCTGTTGCACCATGTGGGTTGCTCCCTGGCCGGCTGGGGATCAAACGCGGGCTGTAGTGGCTGGAGATAGCTTGATAGCACTGTCTTTATAACTCCTGCGCCACTAGGGAGGCCCAGTTACTTGCCTTTCTTTTGGAAGAGGTCACAGCCTCCTGAACGCTGCAGTCGTGTATGAGGCGAGTGCTGTGTCCATGGCAGCAATTGGCAACCCTGGCTGCTCACATTGTAGTGGAAGGCCCTAGGAGGAGGCAGAGTCACGCAGTGCCCAAATTTCCCTGCCCCCAGTCCTATCTAGGCCCCATAGCAACTCACCTGCAGTCCAGTAGGGACCCACAACGCCCTGCACACTCCTCAGCATCTGCTGTGTCTTCTTGCCAAGGCCCAGGCTCCACCACATGTCGCAGGTGCTGCAGCTCTGTACCCCGGAGCACCTGAAAATCATTCAAGGGGGAGCGCTGCCCTGTGGGGTGGATATGTATGTCAATGCATGAAATTGGCATATCCATTCTTTGTTCATTCAGGGGATCAAAGCAACAGGCCCTCTAGGATAAGCCTCTGGGCACATTCAAAGGTCAGACCCCTGCATAGGATGGTAAGCGCCAGACTAGATATGATAGTTATCACCAGTGGCCTTGTTTCGTGGGCAAAGTACTAGGCTCAAGTCTAAAACATACACTCTGTGAGAGCAGTGGGTGGTGGTGTTTACCCGATGGAGCTGGTCCCATCTTATCTCTCAGATGAGAATATTAAGTTACAGAGTTGTCACACTACCCAAGCCGAGGCCCAAAGTCTAGGGTTCTGACTCCTAGTCTGGGGTCTTACTGGCATGAGGGCATTTGCTAGGTTAGAGGGTTAGATCAGACTCATGAAGGATAACTGTCTGCATGTGTACATGCACCTGTGCATCCCAACACTGACACAGTACCTCAGCAGACATCCCAACAGGCCTGAGTAGGCAGGATGTATATGTATTCCCGGGACGGCCCAGCTCTGTGCAAGAAACCAAGGTCATCACCATGCCTGGTAGGAATCTGAGCTCAAAAGGTAGGATGGATCTGGGGCCAACCTCTTCCCAAAGATAGATGAGAATCAGGGCATTTGGGGGGTGGGCACTTACCAGGGGCCCCTGAGCACTGCGTCAGAAGTAGAAGAAGTGGGAGCCACCCCATCCTCCTAGCCGGAGGTTGCACTGTGACCCACCACAGCCCCATCCGGGAAGTTGTGAAACTTGTCCCTATGGGATTGGGTGGCTCTGGTTCCACACCCCCATTCCAGGCCTGCTGGGGCCTGACCTGAGACCCAGTGTCAGGACTAGAGGTGGGGCCAGGCCTCAGACCCCTGGGTGAGGTGAAGTTCCCTAATTCTGGCACAGCTAGCCTCTGCCCTATGGGTTGGGCAGGTGTTGGAAGGTTTCAGTGGGGGTCCTTGAAGTGCCCTGGGGAGAAGACGGAAGCCCCCTACAGCCTAGCTTGCTCCAAAGGGAAGAACAGTGCGGGCACGGGCGCTGCTGGAGGCCTGGGTTCCAAACCTCAGCAGGTGATATTAAACTTTTTGGAGGCTCAGCTTTTCCGTGTAAATTGAAACGTCCCAAAGCAGCCTGGCCCTTTTGCTGACTTATCAGCTGTAGGCAGGTTGGCCCACGCCCCTGGCAGCAGAGCCCCGAGGGCTTTCCCTCGCCCAGAGGAGGAGCCATTTCAGGGAAGGTGCGTGAGGCCACCGTCTGCCTGGAGGTGGGGGTGACGGGTTGCGGGTAGCAGGGGACACTAGCAGGAGCGGCCTTTCAGATTTGCTATGGGACACACCTGGGCCGGGTCTTCAAGCACCGATAGGAATTGAAACATGCGGCCTGGGGCCTCTGGTTGAGACACTGCGTTCGGACACCCCCGCACTGGAGACGGTTGGGCTGTCGGGTGAGACGGACTCGGAACAGCCCGGCGGGACGCCCCGAAGGGGGCGGGGCTTGGCGGGGGCCAGGGTCTGGCCTTGCGCGTGCGCCGCGGGCGCGCCGTTTGGCCCCGGACGGGCGCCGTAGCCGAGAGGCTGGGCGGATGTTGTGAGCCGGGACTCCGGGCCGAAACTGGGGGTGAGTGAGGGGCGACCCGGCCCCCAGCGGGGCGGGTCCCGGCGACTCCCACCGCGGCCCTCGCCGGGCCTCGCGAAGGCGCCTGCCGCGCGGGGTCACGGCCTGCGGTGCGGGACGCCGGGCTGCATCTGGCCTGGAGGAGCCTCGGAGCGTGGGGCCGGGCAGGGGCGACTCGGGGGAGACGTGCGCTGCCCTCCGCGTCCTTGGGTTCCGAGATGGGGTCGGGTTCGGTTCCGAGCCCCGATCCCTCCTCCGGGCTGGATAGGATGGACGCGGCAGGGAGCCCTCAGCGAGGACTAGGTGCACCTCTCACCTGGTCCTCAGCACTGACACCCGGGGTGTGTGTCTGGAAGGTTTGCTCATCAAATGAGCGACCACCTCTTACCTGCCTTGCACCTGCTTTAGTGTAGTGAGGAGGCAGCAGTTATGAGGGCCCGCTGAGGGCCGGCTGGGCGGGAGAGTCACCTTCCCTAGGGGCAGGAAGGGTGCGGACTGTGAATGGGCAAGAGTGTGTAGCGGGAGCTGAGGATCTGTTTGGGGTGAGATAAGAGGCTGCAGACAGGGCCAGCTCTGTCTAATAGAACTTTTTGTGATAGGGAAGTATTCTGTATTTTTGCTTTCTAGTACAGTAACCATTAGTTACATGTGGCTATTGAATCCTTGAATGTAGCTTATATAACTGCGAGACGATTTTTAATTTTTTAAAACTTTAATCCAAATTTAAATAGTCACATGTTCTCAGTGGCTACCCTGTTGGTCAGTAGAGCTCTGGTCGCTGAGGCTGACACCAGTGACTGACTTAGTGCAGCTTCTGAAGCAGCTGCAGCAACACGATGATATGTGAGGGATGGGTGGCAGGGGGAAGACCAGTGGGGCCTTGCAGGGAGGGCTGGCAGAGGTGGTGCTCTGATGGAGTGGGAGGCTGTGTGGGAACAAAAACTAGCAGGCATTTGATTCAGAGAAGGGAGAACCCTGGGGCGGATGGAAGAGGCCCTGCCCTCAGGAATCAGCAGGACTTGTAGCTGGAGATGGAACCAAGTCCTCTGATGCTTGGTCTGCACTGGGGGGCATAGAGTCTAGGGGTCTCTCTCCTAGATACAAGCTGGACCCCAGTGTGGCTTATGGTTGAGAGGTATAGGGGCTTGGCCCCTCCTCAGCCACACCACTTTGGACCCTTTGGTTTGATTTCCTCATGTTTGGTTTGGTTCAACAAACATAATTCTGGCACCTGCTCACTGTCAGCCCTGGGACAGGGTGGGGCCCAGTCACCTGGAGCAGACCTCACCCGCCCTCCAGGTGTAGGAAGCTGGAGGGCCCTGTTTTCCTTTGCTCTGGGTTTGTGTGTATGTGCGTACGTGCATGTGGCCTCTCTGCTCCAGGACTGGGGTCATTGTGGAGGCTGTTGGCTGACTTTGATAGACAGTCTCTGCCTCTGGCTCAGCCCCTAGGACTGCTGGCTGCCCACAAGAGATGAAGGATGGCATCTAAGGGGGCCGGCGTGTCTTTCTCCCGCAAGAGCTATAGGCTGACTTCAGATGCTGACAAGTCCAGGGTCACAGGTAAGGAATGCCAGGTTAAGGGGAGGCTCCTTGTGTTGCGGGAAGAAAGGGGAGACAAGGACAGCAGAGTCCCAGGCCTCATACATGTGAGCCAGCTCTTCTCCAGCCAGCAGCCATGTAACACTCCAGCCAGTGTGCCTGGGACTGACCTACGACCAAGAAACTCTGGGAACAACAGGGACTGGACTGGCAGCTGCACTGACCACATGACCTTTCCCTCTTTCCTGACCTGTGTCCCAGGCATTGTGCATGAGAAGCTACTAAATGATTACCTGCATCGCATCTTTTCCTCTCCTGACCATGCACCTGCCGCAGCCACCAGCAGGTATGACCGGGTGGGCCATTCTTTGGAACTAGAGCCTGGAGGCTGCAACTGTAGGGAAGGGGCCTGGGTTCTGGGTAGGCTGATGTGGATTCTCTTCTCACTTTGATGCTTCCGGCTCTAAGATCTGGCCAGGGAGTCTGCTGCCTGGGTTGGATTCCACATCGTCCACTCTCCCAGTGTGCTAGTACCTTTCTTCTGGGGTGTTGTGGAGGTTAAGGAGATGGTGTATATTCAGCAGAGCACTGTGCCCGTATTCCACACTCAGCGTCAGTGGTGTGTGCTCCTGCCCGCACCTCTGCCTACCTCTGTAAGAGGCCAACCTGGCCTTTTTCGTTGTAAGTTTAATGCATTTAAGTTTAGTCCATATCAAAGTTACAAGTGCACTCTAGTTGGAACTTAGAAACTGAAGAAGAAAAAGCAGTCCATCATTTCATTCTTCTAACATATCTGTGTCCCTTTTTTTTTTTTTTCAATCTCACAAAGTGTCTTGCAAGATATGAATGTAGGACAGGGCTATATGGAAAACTTTTTTTTTTTTAGTTTCTGTTAGCTTCAGTTCTTTAAAAGAAATTGTTCAGGAATAATTGAGATTCACTAAAACTCATGTATATAAAGTGTGCAATCCAGTAACTTTTAATATGGATAAGCTGTGAAACCATCACTGCCATCAAAAACGAGCAAAGAACATATATTTCCCTCACCTCCCAAAGTCAGTGGAAGTTTTAATCCTTTTTTTGTCATCAAGCATGAGCCCTTTAGTATTTTCCTTCATTACAGGTTGATCTCAGTGGGCAGGGGTCTGCGTAGCCCTTAATAATGCTCTGGTAGAGGGGCTTTTGCTTTTGTGAACAGTGTTATGAGGATGCCCAGGCTTGGAATCATGTGGCTAGAACATTGTAGAGCATTTGAACTCTGAACTTTTAAGACTGTTGCAAGACTGTTACTTCTTCAAAGATCATGTAAGTTCTGCCTCCCTGCAGTGAGCCCCTGGCGCCCTGTCTCTCAGCGGCCTCGCCAGCCTGGGCTCTTCTTTCTTTCGCAATCTGTGCTCTCTGGGCAGGCACAAAGGGCAACATTGTTGTCTATTCCATTTAAGCTGCTGTGGTAGCCAAAGGGTTCCTACTTGTAGAGGGCTGCTGCCCACCTCCACCCCAACCCCAGTCCTGGCCTCTTACCAGGGCCATCTGATCTCTACCTCATGTGATACCAGAATTGGTCCTGCTGCCACTGGTGCTGTGGCTGCCAGGAGGGAGAGCAGGTGGCAGAGCCCTCAGTCAGTGGTAATGCAGATGCAGAACCCTGGATTGGGATCTGGGAAATCCAGAAAGGGCAAGCGAGTGCTGGGGCTGGCCACATGGGTAGTGCTGCAGGCCCTCAGTGTGGCTGAGTCTCCATTGCCTACCTACCCTCCTATAGCTCCTGTTGAGAGCAAGCATTAGACTAGTTCGCCCTCGCAAAAATGGGCCAGCAAGAACTGCTTTGGGGACCTGTTTATCCTGGACCTGTTGGGTATATTCAGCAATCTGGTTGGCCTATAGCCTTCCATGCTACTGACTAGGCACCCTCTTGCCAGGCTACCACCTGGAGTAGGGGTGAGGCTTCATGCATCTCCACCTCCTGCAGCTCAGTAGTAACTGACAGCAGGGGAGCATGTGGTCCCTGAACCTGGGTTGGAGCTACCTTACCAAGAGTCAGTGTATTGGCCCTTTACATCCTTTTCCAGAGCCCAACCTCTAGATAGATGGACAGGGGAGAAGTTGACATTAGAGGTACACGAGCAGGTGTTGGTGGTCTGTGGACTGCATCCTGCTGGGCATCAGACCTCTGCTCTGCCCAGCCCTGCTGGCAACCATCCCCTCCACCCTGCCATTCCCTGCTATTCATAGCAGCTGAACTCAGGACAGAGCTGCCAGCACTGGATAGAGCCCTTCCTCCTTTAGGCATGTGGGCTGGGAAGATGAGGGAGTCCCTCAGACAGATTTCCCCAGCCCGTTTGGCTGGCGCAGGTGGCAGATAGGCCATGTGCTCCAGGGGTTTGTACAGGTAAGTACAGTCAGGGGCCTGAGCCTTTCACACTGCCAGGACATGTTCGATTCAATATACACACATGCTGGACTGCAACCCCAGACCTGGAGTCGAGGGCTGGACTAGCAGTCCTTGGCGCGAGTCACTTTGGGATTGGCATTTCTGCCCACCTTCCTCTTCCAGCAACCACCCTGGAGAGTGAGCAGGTTATAGTTTCTTCAGAGAGCATGTGTTATTCTTGAGAATTTTTGCAGTATCTCTAGCACACAAATGCTCTTCCCTTTATACAGATGAGGGGATTAAGGCCTAGAGAGGGCTCTCTTTTTTTTCTAAGTTCCAAGTTACACCAAACTGAACTGGTCACAATTGTTAGTTTATCAGACAATTCAGTCTTCTGGCCTCCAGCACACCAGAACCTAGGCACAACTGTCTTCTGGAGCTTAGGCAGCCAGCCTCTGATGCTCAGGGCAGAGGGAATGTGTGTAAGAGGGGCTTAGTATCATCTGACTGGTTTCAAGGACTTTTGGGCCCCTCGCAGCCTCTCGCTCTCCCCAGGAAACCCCTGAACTTCCAGAACCTACCAGAGCATCTGGACCAGCTGTTACAGGTGGACACTGAAGATGAGGAAAGCCAGGGTATGTGGCAGTTTCTGGAATGGTACTAGGGGAGCAGGACTGGGCCTTGGAGGGGGCCCTGGGGAGCCCAGTGTATTCGGTACCTTTGGTCATATCCTCTGCCTGACCCCACACCTCTCTTCTTTTCAGGACAGGTTGAAGGACGGCTTGGCCCATCTACTGTGGTCCTAGACCACACAGGTGGCTTTGAGGGGCTTCTTCTGGTGGATGATGACCTCTTGGGGGTGAGTAAGGACAGGGCGTGGGGCCCAGGTCCAAGCCCCTCCTGACACAGCCCTAGGCTCCTCCTGATGTGACCTAGTTTCTCTACCTTTCTTGATGGGGCTATACCCACAAACCCAT